TGTCTCTAAAAATGATGTCTGTTTTCTGTTTTGTCCTGTGGGGTCTAGGAGTCTCCCCTGGGTTCAAACATATCTTTAGAGGCATCAGAAAGAGCGCGTCGAGAAATGGCGTGCTGATGCCTCTAAAGATGGTTTCGAACCACGGGAGTTTTAATTTTAATTTTCTATAGAATTTCCAAGGTTTTAATATGGAATTTTCAAATTAAAAAAACTTGCCCCCAAGAGAATAAATCCCACCTCGTTTTGCCCCATCCTCCTGAATTATTCACTCATTTATTTCAACTGAAATCAATGATGGAATATCGAGTTTAATGTTATCGGAAGGTCGGTATCTGAGTCAAAGTAATATGTATGATAATTCAAACATGCCCACACCTTATAATGGTCGGTTGTGTATCCAATAATAAGAGCCTCGCCCCTTTCTACAAATTGAATTCAGCCACCTCCCGTCCAATCTCACATCTCAACCAACAGTTTAACCTCGGGTAATTGTATTAATAACTCGAAACGAGCTCCCATTCACAAAGGCATACGCTCAATGAGTCCAACTTACATTCAACAATGCTATCACCTCATCATCTAGAATTGTAAAGGTTTTCGTCGTCCTCAGGAGCGGGGGATTTGAATAATCGTGTAAGATGGCTTATCGGAGGAAGGGAAGATGAATAAAACGGTCTCGAAGGAAATCGTGTACTACTAGTCGATTTAGAGGGATTTCAAAGGCGTTTTGAAGGGACGACCGTAGTTTCGATTTAACTACTGTGCCCGTGTTGGTAAGACAGATGATTTAGGCTGCTGCCACCAACTACTGATAATAGATCGATGGGATCGTAGACAACTGCAGTAGTTCGCTACTGGTATTGCCAAGAGCTGCGGTGATATTTCACTGCATTTTTTCAATAAATAAAAATTGCACTCTGGCTTTGGCCAACTTTTGGTCCTGGGCTTTCCCGAGCATTTAACAAAAAAATTATCAAAATCGATTGACTATTGCCCCATCGACTGGACTAGTAGTTCTGAGAATATTTTTAATGACCCTCTTTAAAATAATTGAAAAATTAATAATATTTTCACTGTCTTCCCATTTTTTCGTTTCATTTCGCAAATGCTATTCGCATTCTCCAGTCGTAACTCAATCCATAATTCATCACTGATTGATTAATCATCAGTTTGCGTAATAATCAAGGGAGATTGCACCCAATAATGGTGCAGAGAATAAATATTCACGAAAGTTGGATCTCGTTCGGAAGCAATATATTGGAATTATTTGGGACTTACCGATGATGTCGCAGGGACGAGTAACTCAGATTCATCAGATTTTGGGATTCATTAGACAAAAGTCTTACCTCGACCTGAAAAAATGAAAGAAAGAAAACAATGTTAAATTTGCAAATGAGTAAAACCTCCATTCCGTTAAAAAATCTCCGAACATCTTCCTTGATAATACCTGAAGAATATTTCGAAGACTTTTTTCATTCAAACTTGGGTTGTGGTTTTAACTCCCGTCAGAAATTTCAATTTTTTTTTTCATGCATTCATTTGAATTTTCATGCAATTACAACAGCATTGGATTCATTACAGGGTCCAATCACTGACAATAACACATTTTGGAATTACTGAATGTGAGTAAATGAACAAATCTCAAGTCAATTAAGAAAAAAAATTGAAGAATTATTAAATCGTTTTCTGTTTTCAAGCTTCGACCCAGTTGTTTTTCAATTTTTATCATATTATAGTGAAATTTTTAATTTTCATGGAAAAGTCAATGGAATAATTATTTAAAAACTTGGAAAGTCCCAATGAATAGAGGTCGAGGTGGCAAAATGAACACTTATGAATGTTTTCTAACGTTAAAACCTCACTGAACTGCTGATAAAACAGAATATTTTTTTTCTTAAAGAGTAAACTCCTTCCCTGTGCAAGAGCCCAATCTGACATGAATTGATCAATTTATTCCTGAGTTATGAATATTTTAGAAAAGTCTAAAGTGTCCGTTTTGCCCCCTCCCCTCCCCCTAAACAAATTCGGATGACTGAACAAATATTTCATAATCCAATAATTGTTAAATCAATCCCATTTCATTCTTAACTTCACAATATGACGACTAATAATTTTATTTCGCAAAAGTATCATTGTGTTTACCTCTCACCGGTGACCTCATCGCGCCGGTACGCCGACATCAGCTGACGCCAGCGGGGATGCATCACAACAAACACTCAACCGACTATGGGGGTCTCACGTGAGAGACTGCTGATGTACACAAGTCCAATAACATCACCAAAAATCTCACAAAAAACACTTAAATGATTTTAAATGACTCTAATTAACTTGAAAAAGCACTTAAAACACAATACGTCGAATTGTTTCCGTTATTTTCCACTGAATTTTACTGTCAGTAATCACAAAATCCGAATGAACGACTAAAAACAGTGAAAGTGTTCCAATGCTACATTTCCCGAAGATGAGCATCTCACGTGAGAGTTGAATAATCCTGGCCACTAGCTGACCGGCCGGTGGAATTCGAGACATCCCATGGCGAATAGAATGCGTTGATGTACACAAGTCCAACAAAATCACCAAAAATGTCACAAAAAACACTATGTCCAATGGTTCCCGTCATTTTCCACTGAATTTCACTTTCAGTAATCACTTCACAGTCTTCTATCACCCACAAAATCCGAATGAACGACTGAAAATAGTGCGAATGCCAACGTCACGTTCTCCAAGATGAGCATCTCACGTGAGAACTGAATAATTCTGGCCACTAGCTGACCGGCCGGTGGAATGCGAGACATTCCATGGCGAATAGAACGCGTTGATGTACACAAGTCCAACAAAATCACCGAAAATCTCACAAAAACACTATGCCCAATGGTCCCCGTCATTTTCCACTGAATCTTATTGTCAGTAATCACTTCACAGTCTTCTATCACCCACAATATCCGATTAAACGACTGAAAACAGCGCGAGTGGACGCCTCGACGCGACGAGTGATGCAAGAGCATTTTGGCGGGAGGACCGACTAAATAACAACATGGCCGCTAGCTCGCCATTTGTAGCCAAAACAATGGGACAACGGAATGGGACTGCTGCGCGCATTCCTGCGCAACGAGACCGGAAATTTTTGGCGTTGCAAAATGTAGAATAAAAAATGTTAAGGGGAGACTACTATGAGTTTTAAAAGTCGTGGGTTATTGGGGTGAGACTTTTCATACGTTGAAGATCGATTATGACGATCTGAAAACGAATAATTAGTGCAAAAAAATTTTTTTTCATTGTTCGTTTGCCCGAAAATGCTTAAAATGCTAAAAACAGTCCAGGGCCTCCAATTTTTGAGCTACAAAAGAATTTTTTTTTTTAATTTTTCGGGAAAATGTGTGGAACAACAATTACGAGCCAGTTTTTCGCAATTCGACTCCTACACAGCTGATTTCGTTTTTTTTCATATAAAAAAATCAATATTTGTGTAAAAAAATACAAAAGAAGCAAATTTGGCCATGTGAGAGGCGAATTGAAAAAGAATCAGCTCGTAATTATTATTCCACATATTTTTCCGAAAATTTTGAAAAGAAAAAATTCTTCGTGGCTCAAAAATTGGAGGCCCTGGACTGTTTTTGGCATTTTTAGCGTTTTCGGGTGAACGAACAATAAAAAAAATTTTTTTGCACCAATTATTCGTTTTCAGATCTATATAATCGATCTTGAACGTATGAAAAGTCTCACTCCAATAACCCACGACTTTTAAAACTCGTAGTAGTCTCCCTTAAGGAAAAAAATGAAATGCACGGAATTTTATTGTCAGTGGAATAAAAAATGTCGAATAATAAAAATAACAAAATGGAGGAAAATGTGGTGAATCCCGTTGTCCAATCCCTTTGGCCTTGTGGACAAAGGATTTTTTTTGTGAAAATTGGGGGGAGGGGGTAATGGAGGGAAGCTGTTGATTTTTACGCGGGAAAACTCGTTCCTCCCCGTCTAATTAATTTTTTACTGGGCGTAATTGTGGAAATAATATCTCGAATGAACGACAATATTTGTTATTTCGATTCTGGCAATTGGCAAAAAATTTGCGACTCGTTTCTCCAGTTCACGGAGTGATAATTGTCGGGATGTCTGAAAAATAGGGTTAAATACTCACCGTTGTTGACATCGTGGGAAGAGAAATGCTGTCTCGAACGCTATTGTTCAATTAATTGTCCATGTGGGGAGATTTGAGGGGAATTACGGTGATTTTATTCATCAGGAGAGGCTCCTGCAGAAAGGCGATGGCATCGGTACGACGAGTGAAGCCGGAATGAGCGTGACGCTACTGGCGATTCGCCGCTGTCCTCTTCCCCCCCTTTCGCCCCGCCAACGAGGCGCCGGAGGCAAACAAAGGCACTGACATCCCATTGGCCGAGAAAACCGTTGAATGTTTGAAATTGGGAATTTCGAGTTTTGCATTCAACTTCGGTTGCAAATTAGTTTGCAAGTGTAATTATGGTTTATAAATGAATAGATGGCGTTATAAATAAAGTGACAAGGCAAAATATTGTGTGAATTATGGAAATCGGATCCTGGGGTTCGATAAATTGGTGAATGAGATCTTTTCTACTGAGAAATATCTCTTGAAAAAATGTCTGTAAATCCGAAAAAAATGAATTTGTAGGAAAATTATAATTATTCTTATTCAATGTTTAGAATCGAACGTCATGAAAATTGAAGGGCAAATCCAAAGAACGAAAACGATTTTTTCATTAAACATTTGTGAATTTACAATGTGATTGAGCAAAAATAATTGAATTAAAATTGAAATTTCATTTCCAGTGTAGTAATAATTTTCAGGAGAGCAACATCAAATTCAACTTTGAGGGAAAAAAGTATTAAAAAAATTACATTAAAAATATTATTCAAGAAAAAAATCCAAAAATAAGAAAAAATACTGAAAATCAAAAAGAACGCCAAATTTTCACCAGTGCAATAAAAAAAAATGAATGAATAAAATAAACGCCTTCTCCAAATCTGTTCTCATATATCATAATATATTCCATCGACATTACACTCTTAATAATTAATACATTAAATACATTTGTCTCATTATTACAATAATCATTAACAATGAAAACGCGTAATTGCATAGAAGCGGGTGTTTCTTTCACAGTTCGATCAATTGTACATCAATTCACTGATCATTGGAAGTGGAGAAGTAGTCTGTTAACAAAAGTTCAGGAGAAAGATTATCCGAGGGTTGCGTTCTGCGACATTAAAAATTATCTAATAATTGTGAAACAACCCTTGATGACTCAACACGTTCATCAACGCGAATATAAAATAAATCGTAGTGAAACGTGACTGAATCAGTGGCTCGTCGACGTTTTCTCACTGACTAATGACTTAAACAAAGTATATCACTAAAATTGACTAAGTAATCTACACTTTTTTCCTGAATTATTAATAACAAAACATAAAATATTCTGATAAATTCAGTAGTGGCTTGGGGAATGTAAAAATTCAAATTAAACATTTTCATTGAATTTTGATTAATAAAAAAAATTTTGTTCATTATTTCCAATTTTTCCTGCAACTCAGAAAAAAGTCTTGACGCTTCCCTCTAAAATCACAGGAAAAATTACATGATTTAACACTTAAAAAAAAAATTGAATCCTCAAGTTTTCATCCATTTCATAAGTGAATTATCCAAGTAGAGAACGTATAATTAATTTAATAATGGCAAAATCAACGAGCCACTGATCACCTAAAAAACGGAAAGCGTCGCCTGGTGACGGGACAAGTACAATTACATAACATTCTTCAATATCCGTAATAACAATAATTCAGTTTTTTACACAGACACGTGGGGTATAATACTAGTGCTTTAGGACTCTTGCTGGTGTACGTGAGGGAGTAATCACACATTACCGACGTTAATTAGCCTTTCGATCTTTAAATATTAACAGAATAATTATATTACAGGGTACGTTAGTCCTTCTTATTGTCGGTGGTTTAGGTTTTTCTTTGACTCCGTATAAATAATTTCAGCGGTTATTCGATTCTTCGATTGAATGAAATGAAAGGATAGTCAATTCGTCAATTCAATATTCATCTCGGGGACAAGTAACTTCAGGAGAAAATTAATAGTCATTAACCATTTTCTCTTGAAACCCCTTGTTAACATTCTAATTAGACACTCAATTTGTCGTTGAAAACCATCTATTCATTCGAAACTTAAATATTCTCAGTCGACTCTTGTGCGAAATTTCCAATGCTGTCATATAAAAAAAAAATATTTTCACTTCCAGAAGTTAATGGAGCAGATGTCCAATTACGAACGCTTTAAATCGATAATATTCCTGTCTCTTCACATAATTAATTCACGAGTCTATTCCACTGATGGTTTGAACAGTTAATCGTTCACTCGTTAAATTTTCACACTTCATTCAACGTAGAATCCATTCAACCTGTGTTACATACTGTAAATAAATAACAATCTTACTTAAAAATTGAAATGATGAACTGAACGATGAGTGGGAGAAGACTAACAGAATTTCAATAATTAAAATCCACGTGATGTGTGCTTCGATACCAGCGAACTGTCGTCCGTAACATTTTATATACATTATTGTGTATATTTGGTATTTACTTCCAGTATTCCATATCTCATAAAAAAAAACAAAATTCACTAGTGAGTTTATTAATTTACCTTTGCTATCCTGCATTCGCCCAGTCAGCTGTCGAGAGAAACAAATTGAACTATGAATTAAGAAAAGAATCTTTTGTAAAGAATAATTCTCCCCTCGTTTACTCTCCTGGTCGATTTATTTATCTATTACTCGATTAGACGTTGAAACGTGTCTCAGAGCCATCAGCCAACATCAGGGTGACGGTGCGATTGTTGATCCAGATTAAACGGGCCAGCCGCATTGGATTCAACCTTGCTACGTCGTTTATCGGTGCAGTACTGTACGATTTTACACAACGGGTCTGGGAATTTCCTAGGCCGAACATTCCGCTGCTTGTTTGCTGCCAGAAGCATAATTTGTTTTCCGTGCAGGAGTAACTGACTAAGAATTTTCCCTCCGGTGAGAAAGCGCAGGCAGTAACTGGGGCTTGATGAGCCAAGACAGTCTGACACTTGACAGTGCCACGCAGTTCATACAGTGCCAATTGTCCACCCCTGCTGCCAACGGATATTCTCCTCGTTGCTGAGCAATGACTGACCTGATTGAATCTGCATACGGCTGGGAATACCTCGTTCAATGGCTTTGTCTTCAAATGACCTGGATCCAGACAATGCAGAATGATATCCATTACCTCAACCAGGAGATCGCTCATTTCGCTCTGCATCTTATCAATCAGCTGCTCCACAATCCTCAGAATTTCGGGTTTAGCCCTGGCCAGAACACTGGCCCCCAAATTAACATTAAGAGTTTGAGCATTCTGCTGAAGTGTATTGAACCTAGCCACCTCCCTCGCCATAGTAGTGATGAAGGCAGCAGGCCTAGCAGTGGCAATCAACGTCAAGGCATGCCTCGACGTTCTGCAGGTGTCAGCAGCTGGAGTGAGTGGAAGTCCATAAGTCATGCTGGGCACGAGTTTATCGGCATCGCAGCACATCTCCAGCAGCCCCAGGAGTACCTTGGAGACATCGAGATAGGGTTCCCAGACAGTGAAGCCCCTTCCAATGAGATCAATGGCAGCTCTTCTCAGGGAAGTGTGAAGAGGAAGTTTGGGGGAGGACGGAGCATGCAGGAGGTGCATCAGGGCCATGCTGGTCAGCCTCGCGAGATTATTATTCCCAATGCCAAAGCCCTCGACCACTGAGCTCTTCCTCCTCTGATCGCTGTCACGCTTCTGATTGTTGGCAGCCACATCCTGGCCAAATTCAGCCCCAATGACCCCTAGAAGTACAACAGCAGTCGTCTGTTTCCTCTTGAGTTCAGCAACACTCGAGGGCTTTCTCGCAGCACAAATTTCCTCCGCCAGCTCCTCCTCCTCGTCCTCCTCCTCGGGGTTCGCCTCGACCACTGGGGTGGGACTGCCTGAGGGGGGCGAGTGGTTCTGGGGCTGGGGGACTATGGGCTCCTGTGTGCTGTACATCGGAAGGTACTGCGACCAGCTGTCCACCAGGGCTTTCCTCCCCTTCGGCCCCATCCTCCCGAGTTCAGCTAGCAGCAGTGCCTGCGCTGCCTCACGCACCTCCAGGCACTGGTGCTGCCATCGCCTCGCCATCATCTCCACCTGGAGGCGCTTGAAGGTCTTCGAGCCACCCATCGCTGTCACCTTGTCCGGCAGGAGGACGCAGTGCAGCGTCGCCAGGAGGCTCCAGCCTTGCTTTATCTGCGCCTGCTGCACAGTGAACATCTCCTCGTTCTCCTCCTCTGCTTTGTTCCAGTTTACACCCGCGCGATTCCCAGGTCGATGCATTTTACGGTTGCGCTCTTGCTCGGGGACGAAGGTGGCATTGTTCATGGACATCAGGGTGTTGGCGAGGGCCACCACGGCGAGGAGGTGGTTGCTGGTGAGCGTCGTCGAGAGCTCCCAGTGGGCTCGCGCTGTGAAGGCTTTGGTGAGACGGTCCTGGTGGACTAGCTCGGCGGGGAGACGCTGCTCGAGCTTTGTGGCGGGCTCACCTGCTGGCTCCAGGTGGGTTTGCCAGGTCGGCAGGAGGAGAGACATGTAGCCTGCAATTGGAATGAGCGGTCGGGATTATTATCCGGAGTTTAAGGATGTCCAGGGATTTTGGATATTTTTTTCTCCAGTGGAATGATTTGCTGCTTTTTTAGGCGGACATGAGAGATTTTGTAATGATTTCATTATTAAACACGTCAAATTATGAATAGATCCATAGAAAGGCAAATTCTAAAGTCAATTTATTCGAAATTCATGGAAATACTTATACCTCCTTTCGACAAAACCCCGAAAGACACTGGAACCATAGGTCTCAAAAGTCCCAATTTGCCCTCGCAAACTCTGTCAAGATCAGGATCCATGCCCCAGGCATGAAGAAGACTCAGTAATAATTGTGCAATCTCCATCGTTATATTGGGTTCACTGAACGTTCCACTCCTCTTCAAGGGATTTCTGGAGCTATCGCTATTGCTCCAGCCTTCACCTGCGAAAATTCCCAACGATCGGACTTTTCCTCATGATTAATTAACAATACTACCACAACCACAACATCTGGTAGAGTGCACTGACGCAGTGAGAGCGTGCAGTGTGCTAAACTATTAAATAAATGGAATGAAAAAAAAATTAATGAACGGTGAGACTCCATCAAGCGGTACTGCAAGTGTTCAGAGGCATTTAAGTATCAAAATGCATGAAATAAATCAGCGATAAATTAATAAATGCTAGAGGAATGACTGTCAACATCTGTCAACATCATGAAATGCCTGGAAATAAATCAAAACATAAAAACAAGTCTAAATTAAACGATTCTAGTTAATTTCAACCCTTCAAAAGCATTTCGAAGAAAAAAATAACAAAGAAATTAACAAATTTATGTAAAATATGGCTTGAAGGATCGAAAGCATCTCTAAAATTAGCAAAAAAAATATATTAGTCCTCCTATTTCTATGGATGTAACGAAACACATAAAATTTTGCTGCAAATGAACGATGGTGAACATTGACGAAATAATAAGCCAAATAAAAAATGGAACTCCAGTGCAACACATGCGACGATCGAGAGAGCGGTGAATTTCTCTCTCGATGGGCTGACCTTTACCATCTAGTGTTGACGGTTTGAGGCCAACGCTCTCGACCTTTGCCTGCAATTTAGTGTGAACATTCTCAGCGCCCTCCTTCATTTTTGCCAAAATACCTGTGGAAGGAATTTCAGTTTACCCTGGGGAGGTTCTTTCCAATTGCTACGAATGACAACAATACAAGATTTGCAATGGAAATTTAGGATTTTATCGGAGGCTGCAGTTATCAGAGTAATGAAGCCCAGTTATTGACAAGTTGAACTAATTTAATAAAATTTAAGGAATTTTAATAAAATTTTAATAAAGTTGAATTAATTTTTTAGTAAAATTAAATTAATTTAATTGATTAACCATCAAGACTTAATTTTTTCAATTAATTCGGCTTATTACCCTTGCCACATCCTCAACCAAAAATTAAACCAAAAACTCTGCGTGAATAATTATTTTTTGCGCTTTGGGATCAACTGAAAACGAAAAATTGCACCTCATGATCGACGAGTAACGAACAACAATAAATAATAAGCCTGTTAAACAAAAGAGCATATTCAGGGAAGAAAGCTGGGTGTTACGATAAAGTTGAGGAAATTAATTTGATGAGGATCACGATACCGTGTCGGTCTTTCTCCTTGAGAATTCTCTCCATATCCCCTGCCTTATCCTTCACGCGACCGAAAAAGTCTGCAAGGACACGAGGAGTATTTAATGGTACCATCGTTGCATGATCACCCAAATGCAGCAAGTTCATAATAGCAATTTTCGTTGTTCAGAATTTTTTGCAAGCATTTTTCTTTCAAAAATGCTTCACATATATAGCCCCATGTTTTCTCACTTCATGCAGGCTTACCTGCAATTTTTTTATGGGCATCGGGACTTGCTGACTGGGTCAGTGCTGCAACTTTTTGATATTCAGAGGCAGATATCAGCCCCTGTGCCTCCAATGATCCAGGAGACATGGCACCATACTCGTCGCTCAATAATTGTACTGTGTAAAAATATTGTGAGCAACAAGTATTCGAAAATTGTACGTTCAACGCTCCTCAGATATATTTTATTTCTGTAAAATCATTGATGTAAATACTCCATACACGAACGATTTTACTGCAAGAGGTCATAGGATTCGAGAATAATAAGAGGGACTAGTGGAAAAGATTGGGAATATGGGATATTTGATCCTACCTATTAAAGCCTCAATGTCGAAGAACATGATGTGACTCTCTGGGTCTTTGGGGTTGCTTCTGAATCCCTGGATCATCAGTGGAGCTCCCTTCGTCTTGATCTGATTACCGTGATCGTTACCATGCCCTCCGTGGAGCTGCTGGAGCTGGTGGAGGCCTCGTTGAGTTGCGTGACGAATCGCGGATAAATTTCTGTGCCTCAAACCCCTAGAAAATGAATTCACTATTTGTAGGTAATTTTATATTTGTAAAACTGTAATTTTGGGGAATTTAATTGTTATTTTCAGGAGAATGACATTCGATTTAATTCAAGGAGGAGTGAACGCTGATTCCGACTATTTAAGCGACGGGCTATCCAGAACGCTCAAACTTTTTCGGAAAAAGTAAAAAACAAAAAATTTTTTTTTCACCCGGGGCCAAAGTGTCAGATCTTGGATTTTTCCAGGGGGAAAGTCGACTTTCGCCAAAATCGAATTTTTTCGCCGAGTGAAAGCTAATTCCGACTATTTAAACGACGGGCTATCCAGAACTCTCAAAAGTTTTGGGAAAAAGTAAAAAACAAAAAAATTTTTTTTCACCCGGGGCCAAAGTGTCAGATCTTGGATTTTTCCAGGGGGAAAGTCGACTTTCGCCAAAATCGAATTTTTTCGCCGAGTGAAAGCTGATTCCGACTATTCAAGCGACGGGCTATCCAGAACGCTCAAAAGTTTTCGGAAAAAGTAAAAAACAAAAAAATTTTTTTTCACCCGGGGCCAAAGTGTCAGATCTTGGATTTTTCCAGGGGGAAAGTCGACTTTCGCCAAAATCGAATTTTTTCGCTCAGTAAAAGTTGATTCTGACTATTTAAGCGACGGGCTATCCAGAACGCTCAAAAGTTTTCGGAAAAAGTAAAAAACAAAAAATTTTTTTTTCACCCGGGGCCAAAGTGTCAGATCTTGGATTTTTCCAGGGGGAAAGTCGACTTTCGCCAAAATCGAATTTTTTCGCTCAGTAAAAGTTGATTCTGACTATTTAAGCGACGGGCTATCCAGAACACTCAAAAGTTTTGGGAAAAAGTAAAAAACAAAAAAAATTTTTTTCACCCGGGGCCAAAGTTCAATTTCAATTTTCTTCGTTAACTACGGAGTCAAAAGTAAAGAGAATCTCTTGTACCTGAAGAAATGAACAGCAGGATTAGCCAGCCCGAGTTCCCCGCCAGCAGCAGAGCCCCCGGAGGCAGCGATAGTGTTTTCATCGCAAGCATAGAGCACCTCCTCAGCAATAATACCATGGAGAACCCTGTCCAGATGTCCAGTCTCCATCTGCCAAACGTAGACCGCTCCATCGGAGCACCCGATGATCATGAAATCATCGAGAGGCCTCCACTTGATGGTGACAACGGGGAACAAGTGTCTCGAAGCCAGAACCACGCATTTTCGTTCAGCCAGTGAGAGAAGTGTCACCGAGTGATCCGAGGCGACACTGCACACGCACTTCTGGATCCTGGGGCTGCAGTTGTCGGGGGGAACCATCAGCTGGGTGATCTCCCCCGCGTGGACGCAGAATCTGTGGATCAAGGTGCCGGCGTAGAGGTCCCACAGGCAGACTGCAAAGTCCACGGATCCCGAGACTAGGTGGGCCTTGTCGTAACGTGGGGCTGCACTGTGAGGGTACAAGAGACAATTCACACGACCCGAGTGGCCCAGCAGGACCTGGTGGGGCGGCCAGTCGTCGTACTGCTGGTGATTGCCGTGGAGAAGCTGCAGCATCACCGTTTGCGTCGCTGGGACGATTATAATACTTCCGTCCTCACGACCAACTACCTGTTGATTATTTATTTGGAGTAATTAATCAACAAGTGCACTTGGTGAAGTCACAGGCTTCTCTTGATTTAAGGACATCCAACTACTTTAGCTATTTTTTCTCCAGTGAAATTTTTCCGGACATTTCACAATGATTTTACTGTTTAAACTCTGTAGGCCTGAATTTTAATCTTGATATTGAACCGTTAGAAAACATTTTAAAACTTGAAACAGAAAAAAATTAGAACGTTTACTTTTGGAGGAAGACTGAGGAAATGAGTTAAAAATGGAAATTTTTGAAAATTACGAGCAGTTTATCGTCATTAACTTATTCATATTCAGGATTCCACCAGAACTTGATTTCATGCCTAAAAAATAAGACTTCCGAGAGTTTAAACAATTTAAATTATTTATTCATAAAGAACGAATGTTTAAATGAATAATAATTCTATGCAAAATGTAGTTTAAATGACGCTGAATATTCATGTTTTTTTTTTTTTATTTTTCTCAGGCATTTTAATTCACAAATTTGATGATTGAAAATGGCTGTCCTTAGGATTAATTTTTCATATTTGGGAAGGTGTTTTTGTTCCAGTTTTTCTCTTTTTTTGTGCAAGCTAGAGATCTCATTTCTAGCATTACCAATGCGTCACTTTATGAGAGGCAATTTTGTTGTTGAAAGCGGATCAATTATTCATCTTGCGATTTTTTTTATTCAAACAAAATTTAATTGAGAATATTTTTTTTGCCTCTCAGTCATGAAAACTCATGGAAATTCTTCCTCAAATTTAAAAAAACAGCTTCAGTTCAGTAGAATTAATTTTTGTAATATTCCTTGAAGGACTGGGGCAAATCGAATAGTTTAAATAAATTGTTTCCTGTTATTTATTATAATTTAATGGAGAAGCATTGTAGTAGAACGAACCAGTCTACTCTGTTGTGGAAGATAAATACAAGCTGTCAACTTGATTCCATGACTGTCCCCAGAGTCCAACTGATCCAGAATACCAACAGGTGGTGGTTTCATATCCTCCCAAGCAGCCTCAAGACTCGTCTTTATCGTGGGCGCCAGAGTCGGTGGATCCGACTTCTCATTCTGCGTTATCTGGAGCACCTGCTGGGAAGTCACCTCCGGCACTGTCCAGAGGATCACCACACCCTCGCTGTCACCTCGGAGTAAGTACTTGAGAGTCTTGTTCTGACGCTGAACTGTGACTAGGCGCATTGCGGGGGGACACGACAGTGGCTTCAAAAAATTTAGAAAATTTGATAACAAATCTACAAACAATGAAATTAATTTACTGAATTAAAAAAATAACAGGATAAGCCAATATCAATTGCACAATTTTATTTCGAAAAATGATAACACAAATAAATAAATAAATTTTCTTAACATTAGCTTTGCGTTTCGATTTTCAAAACAATATGAAAATTTTATTTTTTTGCCATTTCTAATAAAATCATCCTTTGGGTGTAAAGCGAATTAATTATAAATTATTAATGAAAGAGGTAATCTTGAATAATTGCAATTAAAGAATATTCAAATAACCCAGGATAAAATAGGGCTTAAATAAAACGTTTGATGTTCACTAGATAAATTTGCAAAAATAGTTAACTAAAGTAATGTTCACTTACCTTATCCCCTGGTTGTGTCAAAATATAGTACAACGATGGTTGATCATTGTCAGTCGACTGTTGATGGAAGTTCGTGTTTTCTGCCACGCTACTGCACACCCAAACAAATATTAATGGAACCCCCACTCCCCCAGGCTAAATCATGATAAACAATTTACGAATATCCTGGGTGATTACAGCCTTACACATCCGTAAACAGTTGACCATAAATTGTTCAAAGACACGAACACAGAGAAGCTAGCACACTCGCATTTACACGACTTATACCCCAAATGTCCGATGAATTTAATCAGGATTTTTTAAAATCAATGAGAAAACTTGTCGGGAAATTATCAGTTATCATAATTTCTCAGTCACTGCGAATCACAATAAATTATTCAGAGAACTTTCCACGTTCGTATTGCACACAAAGCTGCCAGAAAGCGACAACAACATAAAAATCTGAAGAAATATCGTGATGGTGCATAAAAGAATGAGTAGAATGCAATATTTGTGATGAAATTGATTGAACAGATACCAGAACCCTCTCCCCATGGAAAAATGATGTCAATAGTGCAGAGAGACGAATTAAAATCGTCTTCAGAGTTCTCTCAACCGTTTCTACTGATTTATACATTTAATGACACGTGAAATAGTGAAAGAGTGATGAGAGAGAGAGAGAGAGATACGATAGGACAGGCGTTTAAAAGGTAGATTATCATATGTATTATGGTAATAATGGGGTTACCTGCTGAGAGCCTTGCCCTTCAGCTTGCTACAATAGACCAGGTCCCCCGGAGATTGTGGTAGTAATGATACGTGATAAGAAACATTCACCAAAAAAAAACAAATGATGATTTTTGCGTTAAATATCGACGGAAACAGATGATTCAATTAATTGTTATAATCGTGGTTATTTCGATCGTAGAGATGGGATCGCAGTTTAATGATTAGTGCGTTATACAAGTGATCATGGGCTTTATGATTAAAGAAATATGTTCTCAAACAATTTTTCTTTAAATTAAAAAGAGAAAATTGAACATGTGAAGTTTAATTTGTTTTTAAAATAGTTTTTTTTCTAATGAGAATTGTTCAAGAACATGTTTTTTCGCTCAGTGTACGAGTGGTCATGGGTTTTACGATGAATCTTCCAATTTTATGGAGATAAAAATGCTGAAAAAATCCTAATTACTGTTCTGAAATGATTAATTCTCGTTGTTCACAATTGTAAAAAATTTTCAAACACTTTTGAAACTTTTTTTCAATGAAATGTCATGCAAAAATCGTAAACTTGATATTTCCACGTATTATTCTCAATTTCATTGTGGTTGAATGAATGATCATAAACGAATGAAATGACAACAAAAGAATTAATATGTGCATTGCCAGCAAGTGTTTTCATCGAGCAGCCGCAATTTCATCTGATTAAAATAAGTTATAAAACAGTATAATCTGCATTCTTTGCCATTTAAACCCCAACACCAACACTAGAATTCTAAATTTATGATTAAAAATTGCCTAGATTAATCTACATTTCCATGGTAATTATTCAAATATCAAATAGCAGCGCGTTAATGATTATTATTAAACTCTGTATTTTGTCCTATTATTCTTATAAATATACTTTGGTCAATTAATTTAATAATGCAATTTCGGCGTGCAAAGTAATCTACCTTTCGAGCTGTACCAGAGCCCTACAACCAATGGAGAAAAAGGAAAAATCAGTACTTGGAGAAATTCAACAAGAAAATAACATGAAAATAACATCTACTCTCAATCAGTGGAGGTTGAACCTGACTCGACAATTAACGGCAAAGTTCGGATTTTTTGTATATTATGAACCAAAAAATTGTATCTGGAATTCGCTGAATTATTGTGTGAAAAAATTTGAGAAAATAAATGAGTTGAGGTACGAACTTTGAAGGCAATTTGTACAGGTAACCGTGGCCCTCGTCGCTCCATACGATGACTCTGTCAGCAGCCAAGAAATCACCAGCCATCCACCGTTCTCCGGGTCGTGCTGTCACTGAACAGAGGACTGAGAAATCTCCAGCGTCAAATATCTGAACAAAAAAATTGTAGAATTGATTCAAGACTGAAGTTATGATTTGGCGAATTTGTTGAATTAAATTTCAGGGAATTCATTAATTGAAAATTTTATGGAGAGTTATTTCCGCTGAAAATTTATTTCATTTGCTTAATTTCATTAAATTCATTGTGGGGAATGAAAATCCTCATTTTCTTCATGATTTTTCTTCATTCACTGGATGCAAAATATTATTTTTTCTATTGGAAAAAACGAAAATGGCCCAATTGAGAATAATATTAATTATTCGTGTGCTGTAATTACCTGCCAGTACTTTGAACAAACAATGAGAACAGTCCTCTGATTGTAAGGACAGCAGGTCATCGCGAGAGCATTGAGACACCTGATCTGCTTGCTCTCGTGCTCATAAAGTGGTTCACTATTACGATTCTCATGTCCCAATAGCGTCCACACTTTGACTGTCCCAGTGGTGGAGAGTGCAAGTACCACGTCATCTTTAAAAAATTTATTCAGCTGTTGCATGGTATTCGAGTTAAATTCTCGAACATTACAAACAAAGCTACAGTATCCTATTTTTTTACGACCCAAAAATCCTTTTGAAACTCAAAAATTCCTCCGCATGCCCGAGTCCCCCTCCACTTGATCAAATCCTCCCCTTGGTGAGGACAAGCACATGCTCCACATGAATTAATATCCGATCAATTCAATCATTGCATTAATATGAAATTAGTTCATCAGTTGACAATGATATTCTGAATTTTTATTATGTTCACTGCATGCAGTCTTCTGTCTACACCAGAAATTTATTCCAATTTAAATTCAAGAACTTTAGTTGTGACATTAGTTTCGATTTTAATCAAATGAAGCAGATAATATTGAATGTGAAATTAAGGACGGAATGGCGAATCTTAATGAGTTGAATTAAATTAGTTTTAAAAATTATTTTTTCAACATTTTTTTCTCAACCTTGATCATTACAAAGATCTTCAAATAAAATATGGAATACGATTCACTTGAATTAATTTTAAGGAGGAAATGCCCGCAAAAAATTTTCGAAATAAAATATATATTTTTTAAATTTGAAATAAAAAAAAAAGAATAATAAAAATATTTAGAATTCTAGAAAAATCAACTCGTTTTATCCTGTCCCACCACTCCGCCACCTCGTCCTCTCCCGAATGAAAAAATTAGTTGAAGAATGAAAATAAATCCAAAATATTTTTATTTTAGTGAGCGAACACTGCGCATGCTTTCCGTAATCACCAGAAAATAAAGACATTCTCATCAATTAATTATTAAATACTCTGTTCTGTGTATACTTACGACGTGTATGGTATTGCTTAAATAATTATGAGATAAATGGCGTTGGGAAGATGGTTTAATGTGGAAATGGTTAATGATTAATGAGAGATAATGAGAAGGCAGTAGAGATATATACAGACTGATTAATCGACCAAAATCAATAATGAGGTATAAAAAATATGAAAATAAATATTTCCGCTGGGATAATGAGACAGAACACAATGACGAATGATCGAAACCTAAAGAGTTCGTGATAAAGAGACTGATCAGCTCTCAGAGAACCAGCCCTTTATCTCTGAAACGTATGTACATGCTGGAACATTGAAATTATCATTAACTTGAAAGACTCTGTCCACTCAAGAAACTTGTTACAAATTTTTCCCAAAAGCTAACTAATTAGCTTTCATAAAGAAAGGTTTTCCCTCGTTGTTAGTAAAAAATTCCCAATAAACATTGCCAAGAACAATTATCCTATTCATTTACTTTCGTTAAAAAAATTAATAAAAATAATTTCATCGTTTAACATTTGAGACTCGAGACTTGAGAAACAAAAAATTAATATAGGAGTAAAAAAGATCACTGATTGAGGATAAAAGCGTAGGTGTGATGAAGTGTAACTAACTTGTGTGCACGTAGAACCGACCTTTCCGTTGGGCCGGCCGTAGCACGTGCAGTGCGCTGATCCAGTCTGGATGTACACGTGAACTCAGGGTGAATAGTACTTCCAGACTGAATGGATCCATCACCAATACTTCAGGATAATACCTGGGGAGGTAAGAAAAAGAAAATCAAATATTATAATGTAATTTATTAAGCCTATTTATTTATTTTTTGGATTACCACGTTGATATTGTAAATGCGATTGGTTGTTAATATAAAAAAATAACAAATAGAATTTACTGTAATTTTTTCTATAAAATTCTGCAATAAAATGATGAAAAAAACAGAAAGAATTGGAAATTCTCACCCAGAACAAAACAACCTGACGTCCTCTCCCCCGGCAGACACATAAGGAAGCATCTGTGTGTGAATATTATTCAATTTAACAGCTTCACGACACTTTCCGTCTACCAAGTCCCAGGTGCACATCTCTCCACTCTCGCTGCTGCTCACGATGTAGTTCTGCTCCATTATGACACTGGCACGACTGAGACACATTATCGGAGCCGTGTGTCCGACCAGTAGACATCTAGGTGTCATCTAGAACCAGGGGAACAAGAGTTAAAAATTTAATTTAATTAAATTCCCTCAATTCTATTAATTTTCATATAATAATTTGCCTGAAATTTACAATTTCCATTGTATTAACGAATTGAAAATTGAATTGAGTTGAATTTCCCTGATTTTTATTAATTTTCGTAGAATAATTGATTTGAAATTAACAATTGCGATTGTTTTTTCATCAAATTGCCAATTTTAAGTTATAGAATTCCTCGAAATTCCCTCGGAAAATTGTTAACGCTAATTTAATTTGGTTTTATTTTATCATTATTACCTTTAAGGTGTCTGGGTCGACCTGCCACAGACAGATTTGTCCATCGTAGCATCCAGTGACAAGTGTCTTCTGGTCCCTCGATAGATAAATACATGATATGCAGTGAGTCGGTGCTATCCGGCCCCAGAGCACAATGGGAACTACCAGACTCGGGCCTGCCGTCATTTTGAATCAACCTGGAGACAATTATCATTCAAATTACCCATGCTCTCTCCATGCGTGAACATAATTAAACGTAATCAGCATTCTATTGGGTCTCAAGGTTCCGCGGGATTGGGCTATTATTAAAAAACACCGGAGAACACGTTTAAGCGGATGAATTTTACACTAAACGTTCGTAATGTAAAATTAGAAACTTTGATCTGTCGATATCGAGGGATGAAGTTTGTTGTGACTTTGTGAAGGGGAGGAGTTTATTTCGGTTCGAGTGGATGGAGAAATTATTATGAATTACGAATGGAAAATTCCCTTCACTAATGCCCCCCCAAAATTACGAAATTTGCTCTCCCTGGAAGGAATATCTAGTGTTAATTATCATCACGACCTCAAGAATTAAATTTAGAACTCAAAAGCCTAAATAATAAACTCACTGCAAAGAAATTTACGAACAAGTGCGTTGAATCGAATTAACGAATGAAAATACTTTTCTGAAGTCACTAAAAAAATAATTGCAAAAGCCCTGACCAGTTCTAAACACGAAAACATGCCAAAACCACTCGAGAAATCCGTGTCTTCACCGTATGTTCCTCGAACACTTCAGAAGACACTTGAAACCGTTATCTGTACCATAAAAACAAATCAACACCCATTCTTGCAGTTTGCAATAGTCGCATTCATTACCTTGACTCACAAAATCGTCTTCAAACTTCAATCACCGAAGATAACGAGTTAAAACATTTAGAAAACAGAATCTTCGTCGCGTTGAAATGCGAACGGAAAATCCCCTCCACCGAAATTACGAAATTGACACTGAAATTCGATGAAAATCGAGGAAGTGCTCTCCCTGGAAGTGATACCTCGTATCAATTATCATCAAGACCAAAAGAAAATTTTCCTCCAAAAGTAGACTCTAATTTTTTTAGAATTAAAAAATGTTTTCCAACGGTTCAATATTGAGATTCAAATTCAGAGCTGCAAAATTTAAATAATAAAATCATTACAAATGATAAATTAATTCCCTCCCGCCGCAAAATCATCTGCAAACTCCAATCCCCAAAGACAACAACTCGAAACGTTTAAAAAACAGAATCATTCTCGCGGCGAAATGCGAACGGGAAATCCCCTCCACTGAAATTACGAAACTGACACTGAAATTCGCGAAGACCTCGCGAGATAACTGGGTAGCCATCGAGGAAGTGCTCTCCCTGGAGCTGTCACCTTCCACCAATCATCATAATCTTCAAGGCCACAGTGAAACAACAGTCCCGATAACTCTTTGTTTATCCTGCCGAGCAAACGCAGTCATTCAAACGCCAGCAGCGGTTAATCCACCGCCAAAGATCGTCGAAACGTCACTGATAAACTCGACTATTGGATAATCTGTCACACCGGTGGGGAATTCCACTCACTCACCATACGATCTCTCATTTTCCTCGCCCAAAAAAATTAATCGATTGGGAAAAAGAGCGCAAAAAATTGAAACGAATAAAATTCGTTAATGAACCCTCAGATGTTCGTAATCACGCGACGACGGGGATAATTGAGAGAAACTGACTGATAATATTGCAACAGTGTCTGGCGAATCGCACGAGACGTCACTGTCAATCCCACACTTGTCGTCCACTCGATAATCCCTCGTATCCGACGAATTTAATCGAAACAAACGCCAGAAATGAAACAATTGCACGTGTAGTGACTCACCAGAACGGATGATTGACGACGGCTAGCGATTAAATCCACGCGAGTGGCTGAAGTGTGTCGAAAAACACTGGAGAATCACCTACGAGAGCACTGTCGGGGCCATTTTGGAATAGAGTGGGCGATCAGCTGTTTCCGATGAGCACTGCGCACATCTCGGACGCAAATCGTGACACTTTCGGGGAGCGGTCATTTAAATTTCTTCCGCGCTCCGAAATGAAGTCAACACTTCAACTCAGTCCCAGTGTTGATGAAAATTCTGATTAATTATAAAAATTAAGAATGAAGAGGGAAAGATACGACTTTTTTAATTGTAGGAACTCCACATCGGGTGAGTGAAATTGAAAAAATAATTATATTGAGGATTTTTTTTTAAGTGAGACTTGATTTATCGAATGGGTGATTTTTATTTTATCTCATGGTTTTTTGCTCCGAAATGTCATCAATACTTTAATAAATTTTTTAATTTATTCATCACTCAACCTCAATGTCGCGGAAAATTTCCGTTAATTGTAATGATTAATTGATTTTATTTTATCGTTTTTGCATCACTTAATCTCAATGTCGCGGGAATTTTCAATTAATTGTTAAAAATTACATTGGACATTTGTTTTTCAAGCGTTGAAATGAGACTTAATTTATCACATTTGCATTATTTATTCAGCCGAAACGGACGGTAAACTCCACTTGAGCTCACCCTCGCCGCTAAATCAAATGTTTGACCGGGATAAATAGGCAACCCACGTTGTCGACGGATCAATCAAGTAGTTTGAGACATCGTGGGGATACATGTCACTCCGGTGAGCCCGAGTTTATTCATTCATAAATTAATAGAATAAGCGAAAGAACTCATTTTTGGTATCCGTTACCCGCGATAATTGGTCAGGATTCTTTAATTGTTGAGGTGGTGTCAGCGAACTTTTTGAGATTCGGCTGTTGCCATCTCCAGCAGCTGATCCTAACCTAGAATATTCTTCGGGAATTCACTTTACTATTGTTTATTTTTTTTAATCGGTCGGTTGATTCCGAAATGTGTTTATTGATCGGAAATAAGGAGTACGAATGACGCGTTGATATGGTTTAGTCACCATTTTTTAGAGCCGCAAAAACAATTAATTTTAACAATTAATTAAAAATTTCCGCGACATCGAGATTGAGTGATGAATAAATCAAGAGATTTATTGAAGTGTTGATGACATTGCGGAGCAAAAAACGATAGAATAAAATCAATTAATCATTACAATTAAACCAATCATATATTTCATATATATTTAAATATTATTTTAATTTAAATATATATAATAATAATGAAGAAAACAATTAATTAAAATTTTTTGCGACATTGAGATTAAGTGATGCAAAAACGATAAAATAAAATCAATTAATCATTATAGTGAATTTTATCACTATATTGAATCAATATAATTTTTTCTTAAAAATAATATTTAAATATATATAAAATATAAATATTATTATTATTATTTTTATATATAATATAAATAATATTATAAAATATTAATATTATTATTATTATTATTTAAATATATATAAAAGATATATTTCATATATTTTTTCTATATAAATTGGGCCAATTTAAGCTATATTTCAATACATTTTTCAAAATATAAATTATTCGCGTGGGAAAGCCTGAAAACCGCGTTAGGATAAGCCAATCCCTCCGCCCTGACAGCAGAAGTAAACCCGCTAAATGTGTTCCACCAGCGCCCGCCGCCAGGATGAAATGTTACTACGAAGTGCTCGGGGTGCCCCGTGACGCAAGCGACGACGCCCTGAAGAAGTCCTACCGCAAGCTAGCCCTGAAATGGCACCCGGACAAGAACCTCGACAGCCCGTCCGAGGCGAAAGAGCAGTTCCAACAGGTCCAGCAGGCCTACGAGGTCCTGTCTGACCCTCACGAGCGTGCGTGGTACGACAACCACCGCGAGGCCATCCTGAAGGGCGGGATCGGGGAGAACTACAAGGACGAGTCGATAGACCTCTTCCAGTACTTCTCCCCGAGCAGCTTCCGGGGCTACGGGGACGACGAGAAAGGCTTTTACACGGTCTACCGTCGGGTCTTCGAGACGCTGGCAGCTGAGGACGAGGAATTCGCGCGGGAGGGGGAGTCCGACGAGGAAATCCCGAGTTTCGGCGACGCCAACAGCCCTTACGACGCCGTTGTGCACCCCTTCTACGCCTATTGGCAGAGCTACTCGACGAAGCGCTCCTTCGCGTGGCTAGACCCCTACGACATTCGCGAGACGCCGAACAGGCGAGTCCTCCGCCTCGTCGAGAAGGAGAACAAAAAGGTGCGCGAGAGAGCGAAGCGCGAGCGGAACGAGCAAGTCCGCAATCTCGTGGCGTTCATTCGGAAGCGAGACAAGCGAGTGCAGGCGCATGCGCAGGCGCTCGCGGAGAGGGCGCTGGTGAACGCGAAGAAGGCTAAAGAACGCCAGAGGCAGCAGCTCCTCGAGAGACGGAGGGAGCTGGAGAGCCACGCGGTCTCGGACTGGTCAAAATTCTCGAATATCGAGGCGGAGTTGAAGCGCATCGAGGCCGATCTGGCTGCGGAGTTTGGGGAGGAGCTCACGGGGGATGAGGACGATGAGGAGGAGGTGGTGAACTCGAATGCGCTGTACTGCGTGGCTTGCAACAAGATCTTCAAGACGCAGAAGGCCTTCAGCAATCACGAGAAATCGAAGAAACACAGGGATAATGTGGGGGCGATGAAGAGCGCTATGGTCGAGGATGACGAGAACTTTTGTTATAGCGATGAGGGGGAGGGGAATTCTGGGTCTGAGGGGGAGGGGAGGGGAGCTACTGGCCCGGAAATGCCGGACTTCTTGGTCAATCCTGAGACGACGAAGGGTGAGGATGAGGATGATGAGGCGTCGGAGGGGGAGTTAATCTCAGATTCTGAAGATGATGATGATGATGATGGGAAATTGGATAGAGTGGGGGAGAAGAAGAGGAGAGGGTATACTGTTGTCGAACCTCAGATGGACACGACAGGATATCTATTTCCGGGGAGTGAAGAGCCAAAAGAAATAGAGGATGAAGGCACGACTGAGGGGGAATTGGTGTCGGACCAGGAGGACGAGGAAGAAATGGTTGTGATGAGTAGAAAGAAGAAGAAGAAAGGAAAGGGGGTGAAGAGTCCTGTTGTCGACGAGAGTGACGAGTTCGATGGTGATGTTGGGTTGTCCAAGAAGCAGAGGAGGAAGAGGCAGAATAGGGAGGAGTTACTGAAGAAGAGGAGGGAGGATAAAATAGATGGGGGGGATGTCGAGGATGAGGGGAAGTCTGCGGAGAAGGCAGAGTCAAGTCTTCTGGGGGTGAGCGCCACTCCGGCTGTCAAGACGAAAGGGAAGAAGGCGAAGGAGTCGAGAAAAGCTCAGAAGCAGGCGGAAGTCAAGTCGAAGCCCCAGCGTGGCAAAGGGGAGGGGAAATCCTCGGATATTCCGGACGTCGAGCACTTCTGCGTGACTTGCAAAGCGGAATTCCCCAGCAAGAATAAGTTGTTTGATCATTTGAAGAGGACAGGGCACTCGGTTTACTTACCGACCACTGCGAAGTCGAAGAAAAGTCAGGAGAGGAAGTCCAGGGGGCGGGAGAGGCTCGACAGCGATACAGAATGAATTTATTTCTTTGTAAATAGGTGGATAGATGGGGAGGTGGGCGACAGAAAGATGTAATTAATATAATTTATTGTAATCTGTGACGAACTGACAGCAATAAATGGATTTTTTATCTCTGTTTAGTGGTGATGATTTTCCCAGATGTAATTAATGTGACGTATCGAATATTTCAGGTCACGATGATCAATACTATTCATGCAGCTGCTCATCACAGGTAATTAAGGGCGCAGGGAATGAGAGATGAATTAGGCAGTTCATTTAGATTTTCATTTCATAAAGAGCCAAAAGCACAAGGTCAATTACAGGATCAACTTGAATTATTATATTCAGCGTCATTAAAATGGCATTTTGCGCAAATTTATTACTTTTTTAAACATTCGTTGTTTATAAATAAATAATTGAAATTGTTTAAACTTTCGGAATTTTTTTTTACCCACGAAATCGACTTCTAAGAAAATTCTGAATATGACTAAATTTGTTACGATTTCGAACAAATGATTTTTATGGTGGAAAATTGATTGTTTATCAATAATTTAAAAATGCAAATTTTTTAGTTATTTCATCAATCTTTCTCCAAAATTTTTTTGTAAACTTTTCAATTTTTTCAGCTTCTTTAAATGTTTTCTTATCACTGTAAAATGTGAGAAAATTAGGGTCAAATGGGGCTCAACTGAAAGCTTTGATGTTCGACTACAAAAGTCAAAAATCATTTCACTGGAGAGAAAATAGCCAAATTATTGATATATTCCGTTTAAATAAAATACTAGCAGCTATTATTTCCGCATACAAAGACCTATTATTCTTTTATCCATTATCTATTTTTTCATTTATTAATTAATTTTTTCATCTCAATTATCTTGGTCACCCCCACTTAATGAATTGAGTAATTTTCATCTCTTCATTTTTTCCTCGCAATCGGACAACATCCATCAATAAATAAGAAACTCCTCGTAAAATCTGGAATAATGATCTTCAGGTCAGCTTCAACAGCTGTGAAGAAGCTGATCTACCCGGCGGCAGATCGCAACAAGGACCCGATCTTGCGAGTCCTGAAGAGACTGATTCACCCCGGAGCGGACCAGACCCTATTAGAGATCGCCTCAGGCTCAGGTCAACACGTGGCTCACTTCGCTCCTCACTTTCCCCAAGTGACATTCTACCCCTCCGAATTCGACGCCCATCTCCTGGGGAGCATCATCGCCCACACCCAGGACTTCAACAACGTCCGCGAGCCCCTGCACATCGACGTCTCCGCGGATTGCAGCACCTGGCCTGGTTCACCGTTCAAGGAGAAGACTCTGGATTACATCTACTGCGCGAATATGATCCACATATCTCCCCTGAAGTGCACGATTGGGCTCTTCAAGAACGCGGGAGTTCTGCTGAAGCCTGAAGGACTGTTAATCACTTATGGGCCTTATGCTGTCGATGGAAAAATCACTCCCGAGAGCAATGTTAATTTTGATAAGTCCCTGAGGTCTCAGGACCCCGAGTGGGGCCTCAGGGATGTCAGGGACCTGGAGAAACTCGCTCTTGAGAATAACATCAAATTAATTGAAATGGTTAACATGCCGGCTAACAACATGACTTTAACTTGGAAAAAAATGTGAAGTCGTCTCAATTATTCTTGAATTTATTCGTTTATGTCGCGGATACATCACGGAAACTTCAGTATTTTAGAGAAATTAGGGGCGTAATTGAGGAGATGAAATTCATTCAGACATCTGCATAATCGTAAATTTTGAATAAGTCAACTGTTAATATGACTCAATTTTTAAATTGATAAATTAGTCATCAATTAAATATCCATAAATTCGAAGTCTTTTTTATGAAATTTAGAAATATTTACTCAATAGGGAATTGGAAATTTAAATTATCAATTATTTTATTATGTCTCAAATTTTAGTGAGAAATGAGTGAAGTTTAATTATTTTAAGGCACAACTTCTCATAATATGTTATGGAAAACAAAATCACATTTTAATTGGAGAAAAATATATATAATTGAACATGATTTCTGATTAATTCCGTATTTGTCTCATAATTCTCTGATCCTCAGAACCTTTTCTGACATTTTTAAAGATTTTTTTGAAGATGTAATTCTGCTAATTCTTTTTTTAAATAATTGCGTAGATTGCACCCAGAAAAATGCAATAACAAAACAATTTGAAAGGGCTTTATTTAATTAAACTGAATTATTTTTATGGATGTGAGATCTTCTAGTTCACCGCTAAGAAAATAAATGATTATCGGAAGCGTCAAGTAAAACATTCGGAAATAAAATTATCAGCTCTGATAAGTTTTCCCCTTTTACTATCTCTCTATGGAGTGCAATGATGAAGATTAGATTATCGTCATTCTTCGCGAGGATTGTCACTGTGAATAATTGCAGTTTCGTTGACGAAAATGATTTGGTTGCTATTGATGGGATTGGTGTGTGCAGTCCATAGTGACACGGAGATCAGATGTACACCAGAATTCTGTGCGGTAATTAAAATAAATGCTGTCTTCATGTGTCATAAGATCTGTTGTCTCAAACTTGGTCAACTTATTCTATAATTGTCTTCAATGACATTTTGTTTTTACTTCATTTCAAACTTGATTAACTTATTTTATTATTGTCTTCAATAGTTCAGAATCATTTGGAACATTCTAAAAAATTCAGCAACGTTCTGGAACATTCCAGAACATTCTAGAACTCGCCAGAATTTTCTACAGAAATGTTGTTCTTTGGAATAGGATTACAAGAAGACAAAGGGGTGTCCCGAGTTGAGCGAAGCATGCAAGGCAATGAATGCCACTCATTCTGGGACACATCTTCCGTACCCCGATGTTTGCAATTGCTGTGAATATTGCCTCACGAATATTGTGGAGGGAGGATCCTGTACGACGGGCGCCCCGGGGATGTTTCCACCCACAGACATATGCGGTCCCGGTTTAGCCTGCCTTCGGCATGACAACGGGACGTCGACATGTCAGAAAAGCAAGTTTCGAGACTTAAACATTGACTTAATTAGCACAAGAATTTTATCCTTCCCTGATTTGTTTGTTTATTTTTTATTCAGTGATTTCTATTTTTAATTTTTTTGTTTTTAACGTAATTCGCTGCACGGAGAGAAATATTCATTTTATGTTCGAAAATTGATTGTTTATCAAGAATTAAAAAATTGCATTTTTCAATTATTTCATCAATCTTTCTCCAAATTTTTTTTGTAAACTTTCTAAATTTTCTCAGCTTTTTAAATTGTTTTGTTATCATTGTAAAATGTCAGAAAAATTAGGGTCGACTAGGGCTCAACTGAAAGCTTTGATGTTCGACTACAAAAGTAGAAAATCATTTCAAGAAATGAGAAAATTCGAGAAATATTCAACAGAAATTATATCTTTTTTGTAATTCCGGAGCGAAATGTGGTTGTATATAGGAAATTTGACGGAACTGTCGCGAAATTTTTACGGAGCGTTCCGGAATTTTTATCTGAATCTCCTGTGAAAAATTACGATACCGTCACTTAAATTTTCTGAGTCCACTCCGTAATCGGTGAGTGAATTGTGAGTTCCGTAATTTTTACTGAACATTTCTCTCCGTGTGCCAGTTCGAGAATAATTTAATGTTCGTGCAATGTGGCCAATAATGCGTATTTCTTTACAATTATGATTCCGAAATTTTTGGGATATGACACTAGTGATTTTAGTGGCGACTACAAAATGCAGTAAGGGCCAGAAAGAATGGGATCGGCGGAGGGCGGCCGGTTCAGCAGGTTTTCTAGAAGTGCGGCCCAAGTGCGATGACGATGGACTATACGCTCCTTTCCATTGCATTCCAGGATCAATGTAATTTCTAAAAGACTTTTCATTGTTATAATTCTTTAAATGTAGTTATGAATAATGTAAGTGCTGTAATTATGAAAATGACTGTTCTTCACCTGAAATGAAGAATGATTAGTCAATTATTGTAGTATAAGATGAATGCCCTCAGTTTTTCTCAAAATCTTACGAAAATTTTCAGATGCTACTGCGTCTCTCCGGAAGGCGAAAGAATTTTCGGCGAATTGGCGTTTCTGAATTCCGGGGATGAACTCAAAATGACTTGTGGTAGAAAGAACATATTCTGAACTGATATTTCTTTACGATTGATATCTGCAGACACAAATAAATTCCATAGGAAGGGATTCTATAAAAATTTCCATAGGAAGGAGATTTTTAACAGAAAAAATATTTTACAGCAAAAATCGTTTCATTTTTAGCTTCCGATACAATTTTTTCTATTGAGACGAAAATTTTTTTCCTTTCCCATTAAACAACTAAGACACAAAAATTTAGAGAATTTAAGCAGAGAAATTTTTATAGAAAAAATTCCAACAGAATAATTTGCAAAGAATAAATCAAATTCTATTGATTCTATCTATTGAATATTCCCTACTGAACATTCCTACTGAAAAAAAATTTGTGGAAAAAAAAGAACTGCGAAATTTTCCCATACAATCAGCGAACAACGAATGTTTATTATAATCCAATAGAAATTCAACAGAATTAATTAAAAATTAGTCAATTAATTAGTTAATTTCATACGTTAAATTTTTAAATAAAATTTTTTAGTCCGCATCTTCTTTCTCCCTGCAGGATGCTCTATAAACGACTGGAGAGCACGAAAGACGATAGACATCTCTCGCTGGGAGAATCTAAAAAAACCGGTATTCACAGCTCGATGCACCGAACACGGTCTCTTTGATCAATTGCAGTGTTTGTTAGGAGACAATGCGGATTGTGCATGCGTTGATCCCATGGAGGGCCATCCGAACACCTTAGTGAAGACCGTGAAGGTGAAAGAGATCAAAGAAGGACAGCCTCTTTGTTGTAAATAAAAAAAACATTTTGAAACTCACTAACAAAATTTAAGAAAACGCAAAAACTTCAATTTAAATTATTCTTCAATTATTCGATTCAAGTTGATCCGAAGAGACACACGCCTGGGACGTTCACAACAGATTGCGAATACATGAGATATTCATCGTCACAGTCATCACTGAGCAGGAAACCTCTCTTTAATAATCCGGTTTGTCAGCCCGATGGAATGTTCCATCGGGTGCAGATCTCAGGATCAAAGAAGATTTGTGCGGATCCTTCGGGAAATCAAATCACGTTTGATAAGGTTGGTTTCGCAGCCGACGTGGATTCACCGGAAGCTGTTGTCATGGATTGTAGTGAGTAAATTGCAATCGTCGTTAAAGACGAAAATATTTATTTTTGTGACAAATTACGGTTTTTTTTCACCTTTGGAAATCCTCCACGAACATGAAAAAAATTCTAAATTGTAAAACTTGCAATTTAAAAATTCTATCAATTTTTTTACGCATTCATTCGCTTTTTGTCAATAGGAGTAGTCAATGAAAAATATTCTACAGAAAAAATCAATCTAATTCGCTTTTTCTATCCGATTTATTTATTGAGATATTTTTTATCAAAAAGGAAAAAAATAGAGTAGAAAAAACTTAGAAAGCTCAGGTCGAAAAATTTCTATAGAAAATCGCTGAAAAGAAAAAGTTGTAGAGAAAGATGAAATTCTGGCGGTTTTTCCGTAAAATAATTTCTATTGGACATTAAAAAACTGCGCAATAAAAAACGTAAAAACGCGAAATTTAATAGAATTTTTTAACGAAATCGCGAGGTTTTCCTATGATTCATCAAGTAACGCGGTTCACTTTAAAAATTCAAACATTTCTTCTCCATCTCAGATTGTGCTAGAACCGTTTGGCTTCTCTCTCAAAATGGAATTGAAGAATTACCGAAATGCTGTAGCTTCGGTAATTTCGAGCACTGGCAACATCGACGAAAGCAATATTACTGTGTCGACGGGAATGGCGATCACATTGGACTGGAGAAAGACGCAGCAGAAGACTTGGATTGTTATAAACAATACAACGGGCAGCCCTGCTCCATACAAAATTCAAACTCATAGTAAATACTCGGGGGTCCGAGCAAACTCAATGTCTTTATTAAGATTCAGATACAAAAGTATGGAAACAACTCTTCTATTTCTTTTCGGTTATTCCTACAGAGGAATTCACTAGAAATCGCTACGAAAATTGTTACGCTAGAAAATCTCAAGAACTGGTTTGTTAATAGCTATGACAATAAATATTTTCGTAGATCTTATGTACAATAATTAATTCCAACTTCATATGTACAAAGCTTTCCCAGAGGTTTAATTCTCTTCGTCTCTTATCGAGTCATGAGGAAAATTGAGATGAAAATAAGGAGAAGATAGTGATGACAAGAGATGTTTTCTCCAGAGTTTCCATACCAATGGGCGAAGAGAGCTGAAACGAGACAGTTTCGAAATGAGTTATTAAAATTATGAGTAAGTAAAGTAATTTTGGTTTAAAATATTCTAGAAACTCTTATGAAGGGCTCCGACAGGCGAGCCAGTGAAATCAAAACTGTCTGATTCTTTTTGAAAATCGTCAATAAATCAAACGAATTTTAGATACAAAAAAAATCCGAGAGTAAATAATTAGAAATTTCAGATGAACATTAGACATTAGATTTCGGGGATAATTTACCTGTATCATCCTGACTCGTGATCCACCCAATCACCGGTTCCATGACATTCTGTCGCTGCAGCCATTTATAAAGTGGATCGAAGTATCTCATTAACGCAGAAGCATCGATTCTGTTTGTCCTCCCACGAGTCATTTCCCTCACGATGTCTTGCCAAGGCCTTGAAGAACCTTGTGACAAAACGTCCCTAGAAGAAAATTAAAAAATTTTCGTCATCATAAATAAATAAATTAATTAATTCCTCTTTTCCCTCCACTGAAACTCATTTCACACTAACGACAATAGTCTTCCGGCCTCTCTGGATCGGTAAAGATCGCAGGAGTGCAGGTCCCCTTTGTGTCCAGAAATATCACACAGGGTTTCGTACAGTTGGTACTGCATCACTGTTCCAACGAAATACCTGAAAACCGATCAATTCCACAGGCTTTCATATTTCCACTTCATTTTCTGACTCCACAGCATTCGAAGATATTAATTAGTTAATTGGGTTTACTGCAATTACTCAATGTAATTAATTAATTTGGTTTTACTGTAATTACTTGACGTAAGGAATGTCAGCCGGGACGTGATATTTCGACGCAGGATCGAAATCCCTCTCGATTCTCGCAATGGGAGGTACAATCCCCTGGTATTGGAGCCGCAGCTCCCACCAACGCGTAGTCATATCTGCAACTCCGTCACTGAATACTCGCCATCGCCACTGCGTGGAAAAATACCATCAACTTATTACAAAAAGTCGAATGAATAAGACGAAAGTTGAATGAAAATCAGTCTCTCATATTCTAAAAATCACCCCGTAGAATTTAAACAATTATTTATTGTGAAAGAAATGAGTGGGACATTGCCTTCCTCGCTATAGAGTCAATATATTTTTGATGATAAATTAGCAATTTGTTGAATGAAATTTCTGTGACGAGGAATTTTAATTTGAGTATTAAATTGAATCATGAAACTACTAAGTGTCAGATTTATTTATTGTCCTCCGGGGCTTGCGCACTGCCAGGCTTAGCTTTGGGAAGCGCTTCAATATTATCAAATATTTTATTCACCGTTAATCGTTAAATTTAGTAATTAAATTTTATAATTTATTAAATTTGTTAAATATACTCAAACCTTGCACAATATAAGGAGATAATTCTTCTTAATATTTTTGTCAAAATCTACTATTGTTGGCCATCCCTGCCCCGACGTTGCAATTTTTACCTTTTCCTGAATATTGACTTCAAAATAATTCTGTTCAACAACAGATGATGCAATCAATCTCATGATCAAACCCGCTAAAGATGGCATTGCTAAGAATATTATTAATCGCAATTGGATTCTGTAAACAATTATTTTCCCATTGTCTTAAGTCCAAAATTATTTACCCTGACGCAAAAAATTGAAAATTTCGTATTTAACGAATACAAAAGCAAAAGTCGCCCTTTAAAAGAAATCAAGATCGAATGAAAATTGTTGCGTTATTTCACCTGATCAACGATATAAGCAAACGGCAGATACACAACTTTCCGTAAAGCCATGAGCATCAGGAAGTTGATATTGCTCTCGTAATCCTCTGTAGAATTATTGTAGAGGCCGATCCTCTGCAAATGCCTCGGATTCATCACGGAGAGTTCCATTGCATCACTGACAGCCTCGTGAAATCCAGGCAGGGCTTCGTTTCGAAATATAAGGGGTTGGTCTTTGTACTGAAGGTAATACTCAATGTGCGCCATTTCATGGTGGGTTGACAGCAGATCTTCCATTGTAACTCTTGTACACTGTTTTATTCTGAATGCAATGGATCAAGGATGAAGATGACAAACGTAATGATGAATTATAAATTGCAATTATGAGGATGATGATAATTATTATTAATAATAATAATAATTAATTATGTTTTATTAATAATAGTTAATCGTTGTTATTTTAAATCATAATCTATTATTATTAATAATAATAATATTATTCATTGAAACATTCAGCAAGCTAATACATCTCTACCAATAGAGTAATTGAGACGAAAAAAAATACCTGTAATCAATGCGATTGCAAAAATCCCAAGCACTCGCTGTACATTTCACTTCTCGATCAATCGGCTTCTCAAACATGGAATATCTCCAGAACTCTGGGGGCATTGGCTTCATTCCGAGGGATGTAAAAAATTCTTCAGACATTTGGAACATTCTGAGAACAACAGGATTAAACGCTTTCGAATCAAATCAAATCACTTTAATCCTTAAAAAATTTTCGTAATTTCATTTTCAAAAACATCATCTTCAATCCATTTTATTTCACCTCTTCGTTATTGCTGCAGTTAATCGCATTAAAAAAATCTGTGAATGGAGGAAACGAAGTGTACCTTAACGGCGTGAATCCCTGGATGATCATGTCAAGAGTAACGTCGAATCGCCGGGCAGCAGGGAACGGCTCGACGAGATCGTAGATCCCCTCCCAATTCTGCGCCCACATGTTCCCCAGCAAGTGCGCGGGGAGAGGACCATCAGCCCTCACTTTATCTCCGTATCTCTCAATTAGCTTCGTCCTGACGTACGTGAAGAGATGCTTGTACAGGGGAGTGATTGCAGAGACCACTTCCGCGATGTTCTGCTGGAAGTAATCGTCCTCGTAGGCCTCTCGCATCTGGTCCCCGGCGTCCGAGAAACCGTTCAGCCTGGCCGCTTGGTTCGCCAGCTGCACGTATCTCATGTACTTGTTCTTCAGGGGAGGACCCACCGCCTCTTGCCACGCTCTCCAGTAGTGCAGGAGTTCCTCGTAGTCCCTCGACTTCGCCATTATTCTGTTTACGTCTGGAAAATGAAATTTTTTCCATTTATAACTCGTCGAAATTTTTTAACGGAGTGGAAAAAATTTCAATTATTTTTTTAAAAAATTATGAAAAAATGTAGCAAATTCGCTTGAGAATTCTACTGGATTTTTATTCAATTTTCTGTTAGGTTTTGCAATTTTTTTTCCATAAAAATGTCCAATGGAAAATATTCTATAGAAAAAATTAGTAGAATTTCATTTTTCTATACAAATCATTCTACTGAGATATTTTTTACAAAAATTCGTCAACTTAAATTTTCGAAGCACTTTTGTTCAATTTTTTGAAATAAACAGAGAAGAAAAATCGAGGGGAAAACATTTGGGAAATTCATGCTGAGGAATTCCCATAGAGACAATTATATAAAAAAATGAAATTATCCCGTTTTGTCTATAAAATAATAATAATTGTTTCTACTAGAAATTTTCTACGAAACGAATGGGATTTGTAATAGAAATTCAATTGAATTTTCTAGAATTCAATTTTTTTATCGAATTTGCTAGGTTTTTCCGTTATTTTTGTTTGTCTCTGGAGATTTTTGAGGGGAGAGGAATTTTACCGTGCTCCATGTCAAGATCGCAAGCTGTTCCCATTTTTTTGTACGGGCATAATCGCGCCCTGGTGTAGGATTCTTTCATCTCCACGATCAAGTGATGGATCTGAAATGGTTTGAATTCATAATGCACTGAGTTTCCTATTTTTTTCTTTTCCAAAATGAATAATAAGTAGAAAATCTGAGGTGATGGCGAATATTTGTGAGATAAATTATCATTTCCGCAGTAAAAAAAAAGTTGAGGAGAAAAGAATACATTTAAAACCAATTACTTCATTAAATTTATCTTCGGTCAATGAATTTCTTCCCTTGACCGCGATAATTTTTAGCTGCCTCCTAGCCAATGGGTCGGGGATCCTCGTCCAGGCGAAACTGACCGCCTTTTTCCACGAGGACCTCTCGAACTTCAGTTTCAACGTTTGTTCCTCCAACTTCAACAGAAAATGATGGTAATAATTTCGAAGAGAATTGGCGAGGCCATTCTATTCTGTTAAACTCATGATTTTAGCACCATTTTCCGTCTGTTGTAGTCCGTGATGTTCGTCGCGAAGTTCCACTGCGTCATCATCGTCCTCGTGCAGACACTTGAGGCCTCTCGGTCGTACTCCCGCAGAAATTGCAGGGCCTCTCCCAAGTTGACATTGAGCCCCTGAATACAAAAGGAATAGAGATTTCCGCAGTGAGCAGATAAAATAGTATAGCTCACGCAGTTATTTTATTACAATAATTTTAAAAATTGCATTTCGTAAAATTACGAAATAAATAATTTCTTGAATTATAAAATAATTCAAATAAAAAACTTTATTTCAAATAAAAAAAATAATTAATTCGCGGCAGATTTAATGACCCCTCATTAACACACCAGAGTCCCCTCGTCAAAGATATCTCTGCAAACTTCGTAAAATAAACAAACAACGACTGAAACGGATCCCCTCATTACAGATCCACTCGTAAACGAACACAATTAGAATTCTAAACAGAGCCTCTGACCATTAATGAACCAGGGAACAATGGGAGTTCTGCAGTGCAATAGTTCTATCGAATTGTATCATCTCTGGAGCACCGTTAAACGCCGATTGGCGAGCAACAACGAAGGGCGTGAAGATGCTGATTGAGGATTGCATCTCAATCGTTGTATGTAATGAGTCCAAGTGAAAGTTGTTCGTAGAGAAAAAAATTTCATTTTCAGGGATATGCCGATTCATTTTTATTATTTCTTTAGTATTTTTATTAGCTTTTTAGTCATTATTTTAGTATTTAGTATTTTGTAATTTACTGTTTTTATTAGTTTCTTAAAAATTTAATAGGAAAATTTAGCGAATTCGCTAATCAATTCGATTGAAATGTTTAATAGAAAATATTCTATAGAAAAAATCTGAATAGAATAAATTGTGTACAAAAATCGAATTCTTATGAATTTTTCTATAGAGTATTTTCTACTGAACATTTCAATAAAATCGGCCAAAAACTAATAGAAAGCTCAATAGAAATTTGATAGAATTGTCTAGCGAATTCGCAAAATTTTTCTATTAAATTTCAAATTCTAAAAAAAATTAAATTCTAAAAATGTCCCTGAAACTCGTAAATTTTTTTAATTTTCCGAATTGATAAATTAAAGACTCTTGGTCTTACCTCTGTGTAACGTCCATCGCCACCTCGACAAATAATCAACACTCCAGATAAAATCCACAACCATGAAAAGTGCAATTCCATTTCTCGTGATTAAGCTCGAGATCTCGACGATTGAAATATTTTTAGCTCTCTCAAATTTTTATGATCATAATTTTGTTAAGATATTTGCTGTCATTCACATTGTCGTTCTATTTTACTTCGTCACGGTCTCAGTGTACATTTGGGGGCCTCCAGCGGGATAACTGTAAACGGTCTTATCGAACAATTGCCCCGTTAGCCGAAAGCACGTGCAGTACCTGAAATAATAAAAGGAGTAAGGGTGGTCAAGTGTCTAGGCAACAGTGGTAAAAGCTGGGGTTGAATCACCCTTACGGTGGGACGGGTTTCTGCAGTTGGGGCGGATCGATTTTGGGGATGGGGGCAGCACGAAAATATTTCACAGAAAAATTAAGCGAATTTATTTTTAAAAAATCCATGTAACGTTTTCTGTCAATATTGCCTGATGTGTCTGGCTGTAATTTTGTTCTATTCATAGCTATTATTGTAGTCATAACAAGAATTTTTTAAAACTGCATTTTATCTTTTTTTTCTATTTTAAGGTTTTCTATTTTATTCTATTCTATTTATATATTTGTATATTTAGACTTATAAATTATTTTTATAGCTATAAGCATAGCTATATTTCAACAATTTCTGCGATTTGAAATTAGTCAATTAATTTAGATGAATGGATTGTTTATAGAAAAAAAAACTGTAAGACCGAATGGGCATGTTTATAGCGCGCGAGATACTCTAGTCGATAGAAAATTCTATTGAATTTCTAAAGAAAATGTCATTTTTATTATCAATTATTATTATTAATTGAGTGTTAAAATTTCTTTCCAAAAATTTACCCTTAATAAAAAATGAGAAAGATCTCATCAAATCCCTCCCGTATTTTCACAATCACAACTCGATATTCAGAATTCCTCCGCCTCAGTCTCAGTCTAAAAATCACCACAATTGACGTCTACTCATATTTTATTCCCTCCGCTTACAATAAATTACTGATATCACAATTGTTTCTGTTTTTCTCTTCGCCTCGATTCCGTATCCGTGCGTGTCCCGATAAAAACTGAATCCACGAGGGTAATATTCCACAGGACGTCGTCCAGAGCACCGAGTAGAGGAAGGGACAGGCATCAGCGGTGCATGAAGCGTAACCAACAGACTCAGCGCGGCACGAGCCGAAAATCTTCCAACGTTAAAAGGAGACTGAGCACGATTATTTCGACGATCCTCGTGAAAAAAATTGGAGGCAAAATGAGGATCCAGTGGGACAGTTTCACTGTGACCCCAAGTTTCATGGTTCCACGAAACTATCGGGTCTAATGGCTTTCTGTGTTCTCCACGCATTTTCGAGCTCTCGACAATTGCTTCGTGCGCACTGACCTAGCTCGACGTCATCCAGAAAATGATCCCAACCGTACGAAAATAGAATAAATGCCCTGAATTCCCCGAAAATAAAGTGAATGGGGAAATTGATGATGAAATGGCCGTGAAAATGCGCCTGTTGAAATTTTTAAAATAAGGGTCAGGAGGAGGGATTGGAAAATTATTGCAATTTTCTAGGACGTGGTTGCGTGTTGGAAATCGTGATAATTGGAGAAAATTATTTTACGTAATTGATGACTGGAGGAGAAATAGGGAATTATGGGTTTGATGAATTAGTGGATAAGTGGAGGATGTTGATGGTTATTCTCGGAGGGAACTTTTCACCTTTGATTTGAAGGGAAAATTCTTGGAATATTTAAGTTGATTTGAATTTAAGGGGGAATTTGAATGAATTTTGCAGGATATTTCAATTCATTTTCTGGGCACTAATATTTTCCTTTCAACATTTTATCATAAACTGCCGAATTTTTTAACAGGAATTTTTTACAATTTTTCCAATTTTTTTCAAAAATTGGAATTTTTCAATTATCTCATCACTTTTCCTCAAAAAATGAACTTTCTAATTTTTTTATCAGATTTTTAAAATGTTTTCTAACGGTTCATTATCGAGATCAACCATCGGTAGAATCATAAATTCTAAGTAAAGTTAAATTTTGAAGAAGTAAATTGCTAATACTCATTAATTTTAAATGATTAAATTAATCAATAATTAAAATATCCAAATTCCGCACTATTTTATCAATCAATAATTGAGTTCGAAAAATTGATCATCATTTGACTAATCGCAAATCCCTTTTACGAAATTTAGAAATATTAGCTCAAGAGTCAATCCAAAATTTAAATTATTAATTATTTTACAATTTTCAAATTTAAACGGAAATATTCCAAAAACCAATGATGGATGCCGGTCCATTATCGAGATTCAAATTCAGACCTGCAAAGTTTAAATAATAATAAAATCATTGTTAAATGAAACCTCTAATGTTCGCCTACAAAATTAAAAAAGCGTTTCACAGGAGAAAAAATAGCCAAAGTACTCGGACACCCTTAAATATGCTTTATTTTATTTTTTCATGTAGCTAGGTGTATCATCGAATGAGACGCAGGAGTAGGCGTTTTCCGTTTTGCTTCCTTCAGCAAAAACAACACCGGTAACGACAATTACCCTGTGGTGCAATCTGTGACGGCCAGGACAGCGTGGCAATTACTCGTGAGATAATTGCGTCCACTCCTAGTCGCACATTAGAGAGCACGAACTCCCCGGTGAGGTCCAACCGAAGCAGAGGAACAATTGAAAATTTCTAGGGACAGTTTTTACGTCGTTCAGACCGATGGAGTCGATAGAAATCCATTGGGGCACCTCGTCATCCTGCAATGATTTCGGGTTTTATTCCCATTCTAGTGTGCATCGCGGATTCATGATGAATATGAATAAAATACCCGGAATTAAATTTTTTAGGGACTTCCGATTGATTCAGTAGCTTCTGATGCTGTTTGTACGTGTTCAGAGCAATCATCTGGATTTTTTTACGCCTCTCCAGTCGTTTGTAGGTTTTCCTCATCTCTTGGAGCTCTGCTTGCATTTTTATGAACTCCAAAACGTTCGGCATCTGCAATGAATTCAATATTAATTCAATAATTGACCTGAAATTTGAATATTCTATTAATTTATCTACCAAACTGCGAATTTTTAATTACAAAATTCCTTGAAATTTCATCTAAAAAATTTTTAACAGTGAAATTTTATCAATTATAAATTTATTTGTTAATTTAGTCGTTCCCAGAATGGACAACGCCATTAATCGCTCAATTAATTAATTAATTAATTAATAATAAACAAAATCATTAATTATCTTAATAATTATTTTTATAATTAATTGATAGTACTTAAGTTGATTAATTATTTTTTGTATCATTATTTTTATTATTAATTAATAAAATCATTAATTAATCATAAAATAAATAATTAATTAACTTTGATCACACGTTCATTACCTTTCGTTCTTCCATCAACTTCTTAATCTCCTCCATTTCCCTATCAGTTCTCTCCACTTCCTCCTTTATATTCTGACCCTCAACCTTCAGCTTTTCAATCTGCTTCTCCTTCAACTCAATCTCTCTCTCCATATTTTTGAGAACTTGTCGTTGTTCGTACAGCTTATTCTTCTTAGTGTTCAATTGGAGATTGTATCGACCGGTGATTCTCTTCAGCTCAGCCAAGTCCACGTTTTTCTCCTCGATTTTCTTCAGGTAGTCGTGATTCTCTATCGCGAGGACTTCGAAGTCTATCGGGTGCAGCGTTTCGCCGAGCTCTTCCCTCTGTTGCAGTTGGATTTTCGACTTTTTTATTTGCTGCTTTAGGGACAGGGTTTTTAGCCGCAGTTTTTCAACTATTCTGTCAGCAGCTTTTATCCAGTCCTCCATGAATCTGAAGGAATTTTGAGTGTGAAGCATTTGCATTTTGAAGAATGTTTCATGAATTCTTTACTACTCTACTTCTGAGTAAGGGAAAATATGAAATTTGTGGTCGGTTAGTGGTTAATCATTTCATTCATTTTATTTATTTATTTATTTAATTTCATATTTTATATTTAATTATTTTATTTTATATGCAAACTTTTAGTGGGCTAGTGATCAATCACATTATTTATAATCGTTATGTGATTATTGATACATTAAAAACGAAGTTGCTCTCATTGTGTCAAGATTTAAGAGAAGATTAAATTTTTTTTGACAAATACATGAATAAAAATTTCTGCTTCACGATTTTTTTATTCCAATAATAAACAAAAAATGCTTATGAGCAATAATTCTTTATTGGACAAGAAATTTATGTATTTATTTAGTTATTCTTTCATTTATTCATTTAATTATTTACGAATAAATATATTTTTTTAAGTACCAAAATAGAAACAGATCTTACGAAGCAAATTTTCCAAGGCAAGATAAGCGTAAAATATTCATAATTAGGTCGTCATTAATTACGAACTTCGGATATGATGAAAAAATTCAGTAAACCCTTGGAATTGTCCGAATTTCCTCCCGCAATGAATTCTAATTTTCCCGAGAAGTAAACATACTTAATAAGTTTCTCAGCTGGAAGTTTTCCGCTGACAGGATCGATTCCCCTCTTGATAACATTCTCCTCGAGCTCGGTCTTCGCCTCCTGAATGTCCTTAATCCTCAGCTGAATCTCCTCCACCTGAGCCCTGAGATTAGCCTTCTTCTTTATCGTCTGCTGCTCGAGGTTCACCAGGTGCTTCTTCATCTCCTCGATCTCCTTATTCGTCATTTCAATCCGATGGTTCAAGGTTATCCTGTTGATGAATCGCGAGGGAACTCGTAAAATAATTCTAAATCCAAATAATTTTAAGACGCAGATTGACTCGCCTCAGGTTCTTCGATTGCGGTATCAAAGCGGATCCGTAACGACGACTTCCTGTAGATGTTTGCATGCTCCTGTCTGTGCTCGGTGACATTGAGATTTTATCTCGAATCGATGTGGATCCACGAACACTTCCTGGGAAATTTTGGGTTGAGGTCATGGGAGCTATCAGGGATGCAGATCGCTGCACTTGTTTTGCTGTTTCTAGGACTTGTGCCATTGCTGTGGACAGGGATTAAATATTTTTTCTTAGTCATTTGAATTATGACAACACGCACGGAATAATTTATTAGAAAATAGGTTCATTCAATTAATTTCCTAGCCGATTTACTGGGCAATTTTATTTCAATATTCTGCGATTTTTTTTTTCACTGAAATCCTATCGAAAATAATCAACAGAATTAGATTTTTTACAAAACTTATTCTATTCAGATATTCTCTATAGGAATTCCTCGATTGTTTGTTCCTTCTCTAAGTTTTTTGGTTGATTTTTTTAATGAAAAGAGGGGAATGACAAAGTGGGAAACAATTAGAAAATTCATGTCGAGGAATTCCTACAGAAAATATCTGATCAGAGAGATGAAATTCCACTGATTTCTTCTGTAAAATAGTTTCGATTGGGCATTTTCTACAAAAAACGCGCTGTAAAGCCGCAGAGTAGTTCTGTTTAATAGAAATCCAACAGAATTTTATACAGAATTCTTTAGGTTTTTCTATAAATTTTTTTACGTGTCTACTTACTGACTAATGCCTGTGGGTCGTGTCTCCGCAAATACCGTTCAAACACCATATTCTCCAAAGCAAGAAGTTTGTTGGTATGAATTGCTGTTTCCAGACACTCTCGTAGACTTTCGTCACTCATTTCTAGAGGTAAATCATGAGAATTATCAGATGAATGCTCCGAATCAATCCTTTTCCATCCAAATTAAATTAAATGAATGAAGATTTAGAAAAATAGAAGAATACGAAGAAGTGAGGCCTTCGCGTTCTCCTAATGTTCAATTTCTCTTGTGCAAAAATTCCTGGCAAATGTGAAATTTTATTTTTTATTCATAATTTATTCACACCTTCATAATCGGGTTCTTCTTCCCAGCCCGTGGTCAATCGCGAAACGAGGCTGATACCACTGGCTTTTCTGGTAGACGTCATCTTCCATTGATATAAAATCGAAGACCATTGAATTTTCAATGCACAAGTCTCGTCATTTTAAATGCACTTTGCGCTTCTCCCCATATTCTCGGGTGATTAGTTTTTTTTGTGGAAGTGAGGTTCAGCTGCGGAATAGTGCTCCTCACATTTTCGCGGAAAAAGAGAAATGAACGTCGACGACTGCTTCGATGTTAAATCGATAGAATCTGCATGTACCTTTAGATTGCTTGCACATTCTGTTGTGTTCGTTAACCCTTTGTTGAGTAAATGGACGCACGAGACAATTTCATCTTCAGAATTTCGTCTTTCTATACAACATTTTCTATTGAGATGTTTTCTATAGAAATTTTTCGACAGCAATTTTCTAATTTTTTTCATTACATTTTTTTCTATCATTTTAATTTTAAAATTAAGTAAAAAACACCTGGAAAATTAGGATCGAGAAAATTCCATCTAATTCCATCGATGGACTAAATTTTTTGTCCTCTCGGAAAACTAATAAATCCCATCAACGGACCGTTCTTGCAGTAATAAAATCTAGCAGCAGCTTGGAAAGTGATTTTACCTTCTTACAATTACCGCAGACTTTATGGTTCCACTGGTGATAAATCACAGTCCAAGAATCAGGTGGGGTATAAATCATATTCTCAAACATCCTTGAGAACATCTTACGATTATTGCTCATTGAAGACTATCGGTATAATTTTGCATATAGAACTCATATGTGGCCGATGAAATTATCCAAAGTGTAATTTCAATCGTCAGTCATCGCTGGGAAGTATAATCAGATCGTCCGGGGATACAATCACGAACAAGTTTAGTCAACAAATCAGGCCTGCAAATGTTCAAATTGCTAATTCACTTTCTCATTAGCCTATCATTACCGCCTTTGTTTCTCTCTGCGCTCTTCCCACGAACGCCCAAGCTCCATTCCGTGGAGGAAGGAAGAGGAAAGCTCTTCTTTGCGCTCGATGTTGTAAGTTGACACTGACAAATTTGTGCACCACGATTTTTTTAATTATCAGGAATATAATGTGTTCATTAATTTAAAAAAAACGTTTGAGAAAGTAAAACCTGTCCAGTGATTTTCAAGAAGCTCATTCATTTCAAGAAGTTCATTTTTATTAACTGTTTTCATATCGTCTCACGACAGAAATTTTATTGAAATTCTAGTTGGGTTTGGCTAAACTTCACGGGCGGAAAATAGAGTGGTACAATGTTACTACAGATGACGGATATATTCTGGCTCTCCACAGAATTCTCTCGAATTCTTCGGTGGATGGGGAGAAGTCGGGCCCCAGGCCTGTGGTTTTCCTCCAGCATGGGCTGATGGCGACTTCAGATGCCTTCATCGTTTATGGCTCTCCCAGGAGTCTTGGTATCGCACGAAAAAATTTCATAAAAAAACGTTACGAGTCCGATAGAAAATTCTATTCGTTTTTGCCGATTTTAGTGAAGAATATCGCAGTCTTACTGCGTTTTTTCATAGAAAATGTTGAATAGAAGCTTCTTTATAAACAAAATCAGTAGATTTTACTATCTCCCAAATATTTGAAACAGTACATACTGCCTCGTATTTTTTTAAAATTTTGTTCTTGTCAATTCCAGGGTACCAATTATCAGATGCTGGATACGACGTCTGGATGGGTAATTTCCGAGGGAATACGTACTGTCTGACGCACGAAAAATGGTTGTCTGATAATTCTGAATTTTGGGACTTCAGGTTGAAGCGCATACTTTTATCAAATGAACCAAATCAATCAAAATTATTCACACGAGAAGATCTCACGGAAAAAACTAGCGAATTTGACCGAAAATTCTATTGAATTTCTACCAAACTTCTATTGAAAATTCTATCATTTTTTGTTTAATCTATTAAATAATTGCGCAGCTCACTGCGTGTTTTATTCTCAGAACATCTCCGATAAAACTATTTCCCAGATAATCAGGAGAATTTCATTTTTCTATCCAAATTTTCCTGTTGAGACGGTTTCGCTAGAAATTTCTCGACACGAATTTTCCAAGTTTTTTCCTCTATTTTTCTTCTCTTTTCATTTACAAAATCAAACAAAAAACAACGCAAACAAATATAAGAGAATAAATTGTAAAGATATCCGCTAGGTTTTTCGCTTCATTATTATCGAATTGTTTTCTTATTTATCGTTAGCATGGATGAGTATGCTCTTCAGGACCTTCCTCCGCAGATCGACTTCGTCCTCAAAGCCACTAATCAATCGTCTCTATCGTTCATCGGCCACTCATTAGGCGCCACCACCCACATAATGCTCCTCAGTGCTCGTCCAGAGTACAACAAGAAAATGGACTTTGTGGTTTACTTTGCCCCAGTCGTTTATTCGGTGACTCGAACACGTCTGAGGGATACCCTGCCCGCGCTGGCTCTGATTCCCCAAATATTCGCACGGAGTGGAGCCGTCGAACTATTCAGCCAGAACTTGCTCAGCCCCATCACCATTTACTTCTGTGCATCCACTAGGTCTCTGCTTGAATGGTGTCAGGGTTTAATGGATCGCCTCGTGGGATACGATCGAGAGCAATTTAATTTAGTGAGTGTCATCGATAATTTTTGAAAATTACTCTTGAAATTTCAAGTTGTTAAAAAAATTTGGCTCAATTTGCCGGAAAAAGGCGGAAAAAATTCAATTTGAGGGGAAAAAGTGAATAGAATTTTACATTTCTCTGAAAATTTGAGTGATGTCCCATTTTTTTAGCGACAGGAAGACGGAAATTCTATGATTTAGCTGAATTTTGAGTGAAAATGAATACTCACTGTCAAATTTTCTTCAATTTTCTAGGGATTTCTGTAAAATTCTTGGAAATTCAGTAATTTTGAAGGAATTCCTTCAAAAATTCAGAGGAATTTCCAATTGAAGGAGAGATTTCGCAGAATTTTCATGACTTTCCATTAATTTTTCGGAAATAATTAAACTAAAATTTACAGTTTGCACGGATTTTTCTATGAAATTATTAATTTTCAATGACAAAATCCTCTGAAATTGTAGTAGAAACGTCAGAAATTTCCAAGGCTCTCACCGCAAGCCTCAGTGGAAATTTTTTAAATTTGTGACGACGAGAAATTTACGTGAAAACATTCACGCAATTTTCAATTTTCGGGGCGATAACATTGAATTTTAATTTATCTCTTAATATTTTAGAGAGAATTCCTGGGTGTAATGTCTTATTATCCTGCGGGGACGTCAGCCAAAGTTATTTTTCATTACAGTCAGCAAACACTCAGTGGTAATTATTCAAATTTTCTCAAAATTCATGATTTTGAACGAGAAGAGGTGAAATAAATTATGAGATAAGTCAATGTCAATGAGACTTCAGCGTTCGCTGAATATTTTGTTGCGAAATTCTGGTGAATATTTTCTAGCTCTCGTTTCAAAGAAAACCTCTCGGGAATTTTTTCTCATTTCGATTCGAAAAATTCAACTTTTCGTCACAATTTTGTTTCGATTTATCAAAGGGAAATTCCGGAAATACGATTACTTGACGAGCGACCTGAACCTCCAGCACTACGGCCAACCCACAGCCCCCGATTACGATGTGAGCGCCATCGACGTGCCCGGAATGGCGATTTTTCGAGGCCCCGGTGACGTCGTTACCACAGACGAGGATATGAGAGTTTTCATTAACAGTCTGTCACCGAAACAGTCTGTAGTCTATGAAACCGTGAAATTCCCTTCGTTCAATCATGGCGCGTTCATCTCAGCTCGGGATCTCAAGCCACTGGTAAATGATCTGGTGCTGGAGTATCTCCAAAAATATTATCAGAATAAAAATAGTAAACTTTAAGTTTCCAGGATCATTTTAGAATGAGTGAGTGCAAATCAAATGAATCAACTGAATAAATCGAATGCAAATGCACAAAATAAAACGAATAAAATCAATCACATGCTCAATATTTTTTTTGAACTCGAAAATTTCAATATTTAACCCTTTTTTTGTTTTTATTTAAAAAATCAAACAAAAAAATTAGAAAATTGAATTCTATTTATTTATTTCTATAGAATATTTTCTATTTCTGCGGAATTTTTCAATAGGATCAATCAAAAACTAATTCAAAATTCAATAAAATTAAAATACAATTATCTCGCGATTTTGCAAGGTTTTCCTGTGAAATTTTATATTTTTATTTTATAATTAATGCAATTGACGGATTTAAAATTTAATAGAAATAAAAAAACATCGTCTTTCCTTATATTTTTTATTTTTCACCTCCACTAAATTAATTACAATCGTTCATCAGCCCTCGTCGTTCAAGTGAATACAAAATAAATAAGTGGCACATTTAAATCAACAACCGTATAATAAGGCACTGAAGGCACATGTGAGTGATCAGTAAATATTTCTATTCTGTCGGTGACAGCAAGTTTTGTTCGGTAATTTCGATGCCGTCAACGTACAATATGTACTTTATCCCAGCGCCCTTTTGTTCTGAACTGCAGGAACGAATGACCGCTGGCGAGCCTCCGAGGAGAAACAGCATTTCAGCTCCGCCATCGATGAATTCGTTCTGAAAACATTAATTGATTTTCGTTTATTCTAAAAAAAATTTAAGGAAGATTACAGAGAGTTGGAGAAAATAATCACCTCCACATCGATTTGCTCGCCATTGACCCATACCGCCTGTGTAGTTTTATCTAAACAGAATTTTTAACTAATGAAAAAATTTCTCATTGAACTTTAGGTTTCCGCGATTATTTTATAAATTAATAGACGATGGAAAAATTTGAGTGGATATAACTCTTCTAGCATTTATTTTACTTTGAGACGACGGTCGCAATTACAATTGTGATATTTTTGGCGGAATCAGAAATATTTATTTGAAAAATCATTAATATCGACGTCAATTTAGAATTTCAGGTTTTATATTATATGTAAAATACTATATTTTCCGTATTTCTTATTAGGGAATAGAAATATAAAATATAAACGAAATAATTAAGGAACCTAAGAAGGAGAAAAATTGAAAAAATGTGAACAGAATAAGTTGAAATTAAAAACGAATAGAATTCCCTGTGATTTTGTATGGAATTGTATTTAAATTCTTACCTAATACAATCCTGTACTTATTCTCCCCAATTTTCGTCACCCAAGACTCGAGAACCTTCGACTGCGACTGCACAAAGTTCTTGAAGCTCTTTCCATTCACCCAGAGAGTGTACGAGTACCTGAGACCTGCAATAACCCCAAATTTCCATCTGAATGACATAAAAATGAGCGGAGGTATCCCCAACATGTCGAATGGAATTGTTATATAAAACTGGATGAGTACTTTTCCCTCAACAATAAAACTCGATAAATTAATTTAAATTTGTATTCTTTCTCAGGAAAAATTTCGCTTTGATAATAATGAAAATTATTCCGAAACAACAATTTTCATTTTTAATTATCATTTCATTTAATTTTTCATTTCAAGAAGATACTAAATAATTTTTTCCTGAGAAAAATTATTAAAATTATTGAAATTAAATTAATTTAAATAATTAATGTCAATAATTTTTAATTATTTAAATGATTTAAATTAGTATTATTATTTATTATTTAGCATCTACTTTGATAGAGCGACAGGATAATTCTCACTAAACTTTTCTTTCCATTGATCCCCACAACTTACTTGGTATGGGATCGACTCGAATAACGAACTTTGTGTCCCCGAACATGACAACCTCATCCCCAACGAGCCGAAACATCCACTCCCTGTTGACCAGTGTCTTCCCATCGATCTTCACAACCCTTCTACCCGTAGCAGTTCCATGCTCAAACTCAACGACATGATTGCCATCGCTCAGAGGCACAATCCACCTAGCAGTCGGTTCATTCAATGTCATCTCCAGAGCTTGCAAGCTCCTGTTGAATCAGAACCGCGAGAAATAATTTAATAGAAAGCCTAGCGAATTCGGGAGGAAATTCTGTGAGAATTCTATTAGTTCTTGGACGATTCTTGAAATATTTCGACGTTCAGTAAAAATATTCTGTACGAACAATCAATAAAATTCCATTTTTCCAGATGATTTTTTTTTATATTTTTTATTTTTTCCTAAATTTTTTCTCTTCGATTTTTTCTGGCGAAAAGAGAAGACAAATACAATAGAAATGTTTACATAAATAAAAAAAATCTTTATAGAAATTCTACCTATTTTTTTTTCTATAAAATATTTTCTATTCGACACTTTCTATCAAAAAAATGCAAACAAAATCAATAGAAATCCACTAGAATTTTCTATCGAAATCGCTAATTTTTTCTACGAAATTTTTCGTGCGTGAAACCTCGCGAACTCCCAACTATTCACAGAGTTGAAATTCTACCCATTTTTTTTTCTATAAAATGTTTTCTATTCGACACTTTCTATAAAAAAAATGCAAACAAAATCAATAGAAATCCACTAGAATTTTCTATCGAAATCGCTAATTTTTTCTACGAAATTTTTCGTGCGTGAAACCTCGCGAACTCCCAACTATTCACAGAGTTGAAATTCTACCCATTTTTTTTTCTATAAAATGTTTTCTATTCGACACTTTCTATAAAAAAAATGCAAACAAAATCAATAGAAATCCACTAGAATTTTCTATCGAAATCGCTAATTTTTTCTACGAAATTTTTCGTGCGTGAAACCTCGCGAACTCCCAACAACTCACAGAGTGACTCGAACATGAAGTAAATGCTTGGAACTAAGCGTGATGCAGGGACTCACAGACGTAGCTATTGAGTCATTGACACGTTGATGTGAGTGGCAAGCTACATGCATTTGTTGTGAGCCTGTCACACGAGGCTTTCACACGTAGACTGCAATATTATTCTAGTACGTACCGAAGGAGAGCGCCTGCCATCATCGCACCTGTTCTACTATTCTGCCCGCCTGCATGCGACGAACTGGCATATTGATCGCGCCCGAAGGCCGGGGGATCGATACCAAACTGTAGTTTTGAGCAGGGGAAAATGAGTGGGAAATTACTTGATCGATAGAATATGTTTGTGACTTTATTAATAGAAATACATTGACATTATTCATGTTTTGAGGATCAGTCGGAGTGCGCGGGGAGGAGCTCTCCTGTCGCCTGGCCGAAACCAATTTTGTAGCCGTCGCCGATGCAATATCCTGGGTGAAGAGAGAATAGCAAAAATTGATTGGAGATTTTTCTTATTTTGTGAGAAATATTTTGCAGAAAATGTAAGTGCATTCACGACGGAAATTATTGGCAATTATTGGAAATTTTATTATTTTTTTTTAATCTCTTTAGTTAGCCCAGATATTATGCAAATTTTGATGAATGAGGTCTCATAAAGGATATCCAAGCATCTTTGACAGTTTGGCACAGATCGAAGTCTACATTCAACCATTTTCAATCATCAAATTTGTCAATTAAATTGCTGAAGAAAAATTTGAAAAAGTTATGAATATTCATTCAAAATGTCATTAAAATTACGTTTTGAACAGAATTATTTTTCTAAACATTCGCTGTTTGTAAATTAATTATTGAAATTGTTTAAACGTTCGGAAACATTATTTTTTTGGACATGAAATCGATTTCTGGTAAAATTCTGAATATTAATAAATGTGTGACGATTCCGAAAGAGTTTTTATTTTAAAATGTTTTTTAACGGCTCAACGTCGGATTTCAATTCAGACCCTCAAAGTTTAAATAATAAAATCATTGTAAAATGTCTTAAGAATGAAAAAATTTAATGCAACTGCTCTTTTCAATAAAATAAGATGATAAATAATAAATTCACCTCTGATGATAACTTCATCATTATCTTGCAAAAATTTCCTCGTGGTGCCATCCTGCATGGAAATCGGTTTGGATCCCCTCCAAGACAGTTCCAGCATCGATCCATAAGAGTCCGCAGACTGCGGAATTAATAAATAAATCACTGACAATTACAGACTTCACTGAGGCTCAATGAAATTCCAAATTCGCTTCAATTTTCAATAAAAAAAACGAATATTCAGGATCAAATTGCGCTGAATTTTTAATAAATTACAAATTAAAAAATACATTCATCCGAATTATCCATTTTCATTTCAATTTTTCATAACTGAAATGAAAATTCCGTTGTCGTGAATTTCTTAAAATTTCAGTAAATTTATGACATAATAAGAATTTTTAAGAAATTAACTGGAAATTTAAGTCAAGAATTTTTAAATGTCCATTAAATCTGAGGGGAAACGAGGATTTTATGAATGCAACTGACCTCGCCACTTATCGTGCCAGATGCCATCAAATCACCGGGATTGATATTGCACCCAGTCACGGTGTGATGAGCCAACTGTTGCTGAGGTGTCCAGTACATGAACTTGTAGTTGCTGCGAGAGACCGTTGTGACAACTCCGTTCGCAGCTACGAGGTCAGAACACAGCCGTCAACACAACAAACATCATTCATGCGTTATGAATAGAAGATTAATAGTGCGGAAAGAGTAATTACGTACGTTTTATGTCGACTTCGAGCTTGATATCGAAGTTGCAGGACTGGGGGTGCTGGAGGTAGGGGAATGGGGCTGGATCCTGCGCCATGTTGGGGACTTTGAAGGGCTCCAGTGCCTCCATTGTAACGACCCACGGGGAAATTGTTGTTCCCAAATTTTTTGAACCGAATGGGCCCAGGGGAACGTATTCCCATTTCTGAACGTCTCGAGCTGCAATTCAATTAATTATTCACGTCAACAGTTCCATATTGACGTAATTTAACACTTGAAAAGAAATAAATAAAAACATTTTTGAAGTTTTAAAAAATTCCTTTTTAGTGAAAAGAGAAGGAAAATAAAGTGGAAAAAAATTGGAAAATTCATGTCAAGGAATTTCTGTAGAAAATGTCTCAGTAGAAAAAATTGTGTAGAAACATGAAATTCTATTGATTTTTTTTTCTATAAAATAGTTTATTTTCGACATTTTCAATAAGAAAAAACCGTAATGCAACTGAAAATTTAAATGTTATGAAAGATCTTAAGTGTTCGTCTATCAAATTAATTAATTTTCCTCAAGTAAATCAGTTCCATTCCCTCAAATATTTCACGTGGAATCCAGAGCAAATTTTTTCTCTCAGTGCGCAGAATAAAAATGTCGTACCGCTCCAATCGTTCATCAAAACCATTCCAAAAATATGATCATAAGCCTTGGATGCTGTAACCGTGTCCCCGAGATTGGTAGGTGGGCCACCCACGAAGAATGCAACCTCAAGCTCGAAATCCATGAGCCTTGAAGGCCCGTAAACCGGCGCCTCACCCTCCACCGGAAGTGTCTGCCCGCGCGGCCGGCGAATCGGAGTGCCGGAAACGACAACCGAACTGGCTCTCCCGTGATAACCGACCGGCAAATATTTCCTGTGCGAATTAATCAAACGCATTCGATTCTTTATTCATATTAAATGAGGCGGCTCATCATTTCTTCAGGATTTCTCACCAATTTGGCATCAGGGCATTCTCTTTTCCCCTGAACATCATACCGACATTCGTGGCGTGATGAATCGACGAGTAAAAATCTGTGTAGTCCCCGATTTTTGCGGGAATGTGCATTGTAGCTGATTCCTGGGGAACAAATGCCCTGGAACAACATTATTGAAATCAAATCAGTAGCGAAGTAGTAAAACGGTACAAGTCAATTTTGACTATTGGTCAGTTTTCGATGAATATCTCGGAATCTAAGAAAGATAGCAAAATTTTTCTCACAACCTTTCTTGTAGAGCCGATTGAGAGCTACAACAAATGTGATAACAAAAATTTTGCTATCTATCTTAGATTCGGAGATATTCGTAAAAAACTGAACTGGGAGATGAATCGACGTAACCGCTTTGCCCCTTCGCTACTGAAATGTTCATTATTTTCTCGTTGATTGACACTTGGAGACGAAATTTTGAACTGAATTTTGAAAGAACTCATAAATTTTTATATTTTGTTGTGTCAGAATAAAATCAAACAATCCTGTTCGATTATTCATCACTCTTGCTTCTCATTCTCGGTTCGGCTACTAACTTTGATCGCAGCGGCTCCTCCTGGAGAGTCCTACACTCCACCCCCAGCAGATTTTGAATACTAAGCCTAGCCTCAACCCAGGAGGGCCTCCCCAGCGCCATAAAATCGTTGAGGCTCTCCTGCCGGAAGACATCCTGCTTGTTCACCAGTAACGGACCAGTGAAGAGGTGAGAGATGACGAATAAATCGAGAATCTGGTCCCCAATTGCAACTCCAATGCGCTTTTGCGGCTGAAATTCAAGTAAAGTGGAGCGTGCCTTTATCTACTGATAAGTAGTAATCGCCCATCGAGTAAGACGACACCTCAATGTCAGACTGATTGAGTGAAGATAACCCAAATCAAATTTTAGACTCTCCAGCAAGTAGAATATATTTAATAGATCAGCCAAAACAATAATAACAAGAAAAACTATTTTTATTGTTCGGTCTGACCTGTTCAATATTTTCCACTTGATGGATGATCATCAATAATACAAACAATAATAAATAAATAAATAATAATAATAACAATCGAGGGAACAAAACAATAATAATAATAGTGAAGCTATTGCTGTTGTTTTGTTCGATGTCTTGTTATTGTTCTCTCTGCGGCTCCAAGTAGATAAAGACAGCCGTGACTTGATCTACTGGCAAGTAGTAATGGGCAGTTGAGGGAAGACAAACGTAACTGACTTTCTCTCATCGCCACGAGATGGCGCCTGACGAAATTCTAAATTTATCGAATGATTTGTCGCACGAACAACATCCGTGAATTCCTGAACAACAACAACAACTTGTTAAATTCCCGTGAGAATGTCCTACAAACTATTCGGATAATATAACCCCATGAAAAAATTTTCCCAAATAATTTCGATTAATTAAAATAATGGGGATGACCTCAAATGAATTTTGAACTTCGCCAACAATAATAATAGTGAAGCTACTGCTGTTGTTTTGTTTGATGTCTTGTTATTGTTCTGTCTGAGGCTTCAAGTAGATAAAGACAGCCGTGACTTGATCTACTGGCAAGTAGTAATGGGCAGTTGAGGGAAGACAAACGTAACTGACTTCCTCTCATCGCCACGAGATAGCGCCTGACGAAATTCTAAATTTATCGAATGATTTGTCGCACGAACAACATCCGTGAATTCCTGAACAACAACAACAACTTGTTAAATTCCCGTGAGAATGTCCTACAAATTATCAGGATAATATAACCCCATGAAAAGATTCTCCTAATTAATTTCGATTAATTAAAAATAATGGAGATAACCTCGCTAGAATTCTGAACTTCTAACAGTAGAAAATCTTCGCCAAAGTCAGACACAAAAATTACAATAATGAAACTACTCACGTTGTCAGCAGTTGAGAAGATCCCATAGGGTAAATTCTCGATGGGAAACTCGGTGTCGTCGGAGTAATCAATGAAAGACTTCATTTCGTACGTCCGCACACGCCCACTTGCCGTTAAAAACTGAATCTCTCCGAATGCCACTGGCTCATATCGTGATAAACACTCGGGGGCTCGTCGAGGTCGACCGGCCTTCAGATAATTTATTCACCTGTTTACAGGTTTATCCCGGACTGATCAAGAAGAACGGGTTTTCTATTTTTCGAGAATATCGGATTGATTAAATCGAAACGGGTTTATATTTTTGACTGAAACCTATGTTGTTCAGACACAACAATTGAGGATAAACCATTATTTTTTTTTGTGACTGGCGAGTTTAGAATATTTTAATTGTCTATTAGTAAATTTATGAAGATTTTCATTCCCTCAATGAATTAATTTATTTATTTTTTTTCAATTTTCATTTTATTTTGTTCATTCTTTTTTTTATTTTATTTTATATAATTTTGAATTCCCCTGAAAATTCAAGAGAATTAAAAAATTCATTCAACTTAAATCACAACAAATTATCAAATGTCGGGAAAATAAACATAAAAATCAACTATTGCACGAAAAAAAAAATGTTAGCAAGTTTAAAATATTTTTATCGCCTACTAATAAATTTATAAACATTCTCATTCCGTCAATGAAAATGCTCTAATTATATTATACATTATATATAATTATAAATTTGATTACGTTAATAAATTCATTTTTATTTTATTTTTTCATTCATTGTTTTTACTATTTTATTTTATATAATTTTGAATTCCCCTGAAAATTCAGGAGAATCTAAAAATTCATTCAACTTAAATCACAACAAATTATGAAATGTTGGGAAAACAAATAAAAAATCATCTATTTTACGGAAAAAAACAATCGCATTTGTATTTTGAGATAACATTTGTTTATTAGACACTCTGATATACACTGGGCAATACTTTGGGCAATGAGATGGAGCGGGTGTCAATAAATACACGTTACGACACAACATAAGCATTGACGCCGTACCCCACAGGGGGAGTATTCACTCCAAGTGGTTACAGACCGGCACTCGTTCTATGCGACAATTCGCGGACACTGCGCCTCTCCATCACTCTCATACGCTCTATCATGGGTACAGGTTTAAACATTGAACGTGGGCTCATTACGATGTTTTCTACTTAATTAATGCGATTAACTGATACAATTGTTCTCTCTTATCGAATGGAAGACGTGAGATTTTGTTGTTTATCTTATTCGCGGCTCTGCTTACCAAGCTTATACTTTAATTTGACTGTACTTTAATTGATCTAATATTAAGAGTCACTGGGTAGATCGGTAAAATTATTATTGACTCTGTGACCTCCACTCGTGTCAATTTCCTTCTCCACGATTTTCGATTTCTTAATTGTAGAAAAATTGAAGTTAGGTCGCGGGGTAGAGAAGAGGAGAAGATTATGTACAGTGTGAATAAAGAGGTCAGTTGTGAAGTGATAAAACAAGATGAATTTATTTCATTTCGTTGTCGAATTAAAGAAGATAACGATTTTTAATTATTTTCTCATCTGTGACAGCCAGAAAATTCTTATGACAAAACCTTTTTCATGAAGAAAAATGAGATTTCCATTGAAATTCATGATTTCAAAATGAATATTTCTTTTATAAAATTATTATTTTATTTTTCAAAATAGATTTTTCTGTAAAATTCAATTAAATGTTTCGTTTAAAATTTCTAAAAGCAACATTTTTCACGAATAACAATGGGATTTGCATTAGAATCCAAGACGTCAAATTAATTCTCAATCTGTCATAACATTTTGCATAAAAAATTCAGGAATATTTAATGAAGAATAATCCTTAAGTCGACTTATCCTGTTTTACTCTCCACTACTGAGTTGATATGTCGTGAATATTCACTCAAATAAAAACGATGAAGTGAGAATGAAATTGATACGAGCCTCAATACTCGGCATCTAAACACCTAAACGATACCCATTCAAAAATATAACTATCAACACGACTGAAAAAAATAATCCTTCAACAAAGCCAAAATTAATGAATGTAAAAATAGCAACATCAAACTGGATATGTGCCTCTTCAAAAAAACCGTATATTCCTGTCGTCAATTTTTACAATAATCCCCTCTCATCTCTTTAAAATCTGTATTCATCGACATCGTCAGGCAGAATTCTTCAACATTGCGACTAACGTGAGTGAACCGTTAGCCAAGATAAAATTGTTAAATTGAGATATAATCATTAACAACGATAGGACAGCTCTGTTATCAATATTTCACTCCCCACTTTCTCAGGTATCGGATCATAGGTGGATGTGTTTCTCTAAAAATACACTTCTGTCCATTAAACTGATTCTAGAAATCTTCTCCCGGACAAAATCTCCTCCCAAAAATCTCTTTCGAAAACTTATTCGCACAAGCACAACAATATTATCGATCATACGGTTAAAATGGAAAAAAAAATAAAACAGCTTCACAACATTTGCAAAACATCAATCAATATCGCTTGACTCAAGTGGGTTCACGCAATCGTCTCAAAAAAAAAAAAACAAGGAGGGAAAAACTATTATTATTTCATGAAAAAAAGAAAAACATCCCGTTTTCTTTTCACAGAAGACGGGATATTTATATAGCGTTCCGCATCTTGTGACGTCACAAAATATCGTTGGAAAGGATCCTGTATGTGTCTCGACTCATTCCCCATTCTCAAATAAAATGAAGGAAGAAAAAGAAACATAGAAACCTGAATTTTAAAAATAAACCTTTGTAACCCTTTTTTATATCAAATTTGGTGATTCCCCTCTCCAGGGAGATTTCCTTCGAGACATTTTGTCCGGAGGGGAAGATTCCGACTACTCATTAAACTCTATTTCGCGTGCACCATTTATATAATTTCTCATCTCCTCATTGTTTACACATTTCCCTGGACTGACGTGCGCAATTAGCCACGTATCGACAATTAATATGAACGAATTGAAATGATTCATTAGTAAGAACTAGCTGTTACATTTACACGATAACCAATGATCTACCAGATGTTGAATTGACGCCGAAAATCTACTATTGCCCTGCTACAAATGATCTTAACTTCGCCTAAATGCAACGATCGCCACAACGTCTCGTAGATTCTCAAAACAAAAAGACAAATAAATATTCAACCTCATAAATGTACATAAATACATATATTTGTTTTTTATCATAGTTAATATAGAATATTCTCTTATGTATTACATCTATACTTTTTCATCGTTATCATTACGTTTTATATGATTTTTCATTTACTGGCGAGTGTGTTGAGAACTATGAAGTTGTACGATCATTTCTCACTGTTTATTTTCGTCAAAGTAGAAGGAAACACCCTTGGCAAAACATGAGACAATGAATTTCCATAAATTATATAATAGTCAACAAATATTTAGTGACAAACCGAATAGTCTTGAATACTCGAATAAGCACGTACTTTCATGGGTTTCTGTTTTGTATTTCAAAACTTCAACGCTAATATATACTCTCCCGCAATCATTCACGTGATGTACTTTTCCCCCTGAATTATACTAATCAACAACGAAACAATTAATTCTCGGGTTAAACCCGAGCTCTGGCGACTGAAGATTGCACACAAATGTAAAAAATTAATCCAATAAATTTCAACTATTCACAGTGCCGGATTAATTTTACGAGTTTAATCCCCCGTCGACAGCCCTGACTCCTTTCGAATCTATTCAGAAAAATTGTTCGTCAACGAACGAATAGTTACTCCCGCACACTGAGAGAAAAACAAACACGTTGTCAAACAAGTCTTTTTGGCCGACAAAATCGCTAGTTGAAAATTGCCAAAAAAGAATTTGTTTGGTTCGAATTTGAAAGTCTCAGACATGAATAATTGTTCTGCTTCCGACAGTAACGAAATATTCGGCTCAAGAGGCGGATAATTTACACCAGACGGTGCCTTTTCAGGATGAAAATACCTCATACAGAGGAAAATTTATCAACAAATATTTTATTCCCAAGTTACAAGATTGCCATCATATCATTATTATTGTTTCATTTAAGGGTTCATTTCTTGTCTGTGATTATTAGACAACCGAAACGAAAAACTGCTATCCCTTGTTCCGCATAAAACAAAGATTTTTCGGGAGCAAAATTATGTATGGGAGTATCGACTAACGAGGGAGTCGATAAAAATTTTTCATTCCGGCGCACTCTCTGCATGTTTGGCACAAGAAAATCCTCTTATGATAATTTTCAAAAAACTATTTTCTCGGCACAAGTAGGACTTGTTTGAGAACTCTGTCGTGTTTCTCTCAGTGCAGTATTCTCCTATTTTATGCCACGAATCAGTTCAACTTAACGGTAAAATCAACGAATTATTATTCAGTAGACAGGGATTCCTTCGAAATAGATTATTCATGATTGATTTGAGACAACGGATAATTTCTCTGAACGGACTTTCTCAAACAATCGATTGAATTCGTTGTAGCTCGCACAACGCCTGGATGTTAGACTCTCAAAGTGCCAATTATTCTCATTCAATTCGCAAAATATTTCATTCACGAACGAGCCAGCTCGCTTCGCGCAATTACATTCTGGTTCAATGACAATGGCCCCTGCAGTGCTCATAAAAATTAATTCACCGATTTAATACGCTACTCAGCGATTATGGACTGGTTTAATCCTGAACCAGAACCACCTGCGTCCCTGATCATCGAGAGAACTGTAGTTTCATTCTCACTGAAGAGCATCTCTCACTGCTGTGTACTCTATTAAATTATTTACCTTAAGTCTATGTACTTTTCCTGATTTTTCTCAACAGTGGCTTCAACACTTAATTTTATGAATTACTTCTATCTCTAAATTGTTCGTGAAGGGGCTTCAGACGAATCGACCATTGCTGTGGCAACATTTTGCTTGGATAATTGATGTGTGAGCAAGTAATGCATCTGAATGCTTCACGGAAAATATGTCTTACTTCAATATTCATGGTTGTCGTCCTCGGTTAAGCTTTGTACACGGTTTGTCGGGGCAGATTTACAGGTCGTGGCCGAGCCGATCCATCTCGGCGAGGAGAAAGTCAACGTCGGCCTCTGTTACCGCGGCACTTGATATGATGTTTCTGAAGAAGTTTGGCCGCCGGTCGTCGGGCTGGTAGCCCACCATCAGGGTTCCCGATTCCATCATTCGGCCTTTTAGTATTGGGCAGATCTGGGGGAAGGAAGATCATTTCGGGGGTTCAGTAGTCGTTACATCAGTTTTTATGATAATCTTTTTTTTAGATGCAAATAGTGAAGGATTTTTCAATTTTGTTTGTAAATTCGGTTGTTCGGTCTCAACTTGTGATGAAGGGTTGTCATTATTTGAGGGATTTTCGTCGAAAAGGTGATTTATTTATTTATTAAAGGTCAACTAACAGTTCGACGTGAAGAATAAACGCGAGATCTGAGTTGAATTAATAAAATCATTCGAAATTTTGTAAAAGGAAACGGTTTAATTTATTAAATGTTAAACTGTTAATTAAACAGTTTAAAATGAAGACTAAACTTCAGATCTTCAAACTTTAAATAATAAAATCATTTAAAAAATTTGAAAAATAAATTTGTTTATTTATCAAATATTAATTAAACAGTTCAAAGTGCAGAATTCAGATCTTCAGAGTTTGAATAACAAAATAATTTCAAAATGTTGGATAATTTATGGTCAAAGGGGGTTTCCATTGAAGCTCTGCAAAAGGATAAAAAATCAATAATTGTCTACTATGATGACACCAGTGTTACTATCGTTCCACACACCTCGCCGAGAATTTTTTCCCTCTGAGCATTATGCGGCATATTCCTGACTCGCGTCGGCAGATACCAGAAGCAGACATTAACCATCTCGGGCTCCAGGATGAGATAAAATTTATCCGGCATCTGCTTGATGCGCTTCACCATGTATTCGCTGAGCTCCATGAGGCGGTCCATGTGCTTCTCGAATCCGTCCGAGCCCTGAAAGTTGATAGTCCGCGTTAACAATTTGCGGCTCCATCACCCGCTGATTAAGGTACCTTGGCACGCCATTGCAGCCACAGTTTGAAGATATCGTTGTGACGGCCGCACTGAATTACTTTGTCGCCTGTGTCGTACTTGACGTCGTAGAGCTTGTCGGTCATGAAGAGGTACTCGGCGGACATCTGATTGCAGCTGATCAGGAGGCCCTGAGTTTTTGGGAAGACTTTACTGTGAGTTCATCCCACATTTTTTTAATTCGTGGATTATTGGTGGGTAAACGTGACATGATAATGCCAGAGTTTTCCATTGCATTCGTTCCATTCGGACCGAGGGAGAAAATTAGCCAGCTTGATAGAAAGAAATTTAATGCCTTAAAGCCACCCGAATAAGTCGAGGTCGCGCCGTTATCCTTCGAATTTAACACGGGGCCACGGTCATATCAGCGCAAAAAGGGCCAGTAAAGTCATATATCTCCCGCTCCACACAAAAGGGATAAAAGAGGTACCGCTTGCGCACCTCGCGGAAGTGCCCGCTCCAGTTCCGGTCGATACCGGCGGATGTCCACACATGCGCAAATCTCGCGAATCAGATACACAAACCCGGTTATACATCGTCCTCCCGAAAATGGCGACCACCTGACACTGAGTTTCCGCAATTGCGCTGGAAAACATCTACAAATGATTGCGGAGGAGCTCAACCCGAGCACGGAGAGAAATATTCAATGGAAATTGCGTATCTCTTTCGTAATTCCGAAGCGAAATGTGGCTGTAGGAAATTTTACGGAACTGTCACGAAATTTTTCCGGAGCGTTCCGTAATTTTTCGCAGGAGATTCAGATAAAAATTACGGAAAAATTTTATCTGAATCTCCTGTGAAAAATTACGGAACGCTCCGGAAAAATTTCGCGACAGTTTCGTAATCGGTGAGCGAATTGTGAATTCATCGTCGTTCCCTCCTCGACGGACTCGGGGAGCTGACGAAAATCACAACAGTCATGTCAAGGGCAGAAATATATGACAAACAATAACGTCGAACTGTCTCTCATTCCGACCCTCGGGAGGGGAAAAAAAATTCTCAGTCGTGCAACAGCCGGCGAACGGAATTTTAATATCCCGTTGGGGGTGAATTTTTCCAGGGCAGGGTTGATGATCAGGGGTGGGAGTTTAGCAATAACTACACTCGTGCACAGGCGCGCGGAGAGGGGGAGAGCCTAACCCTCCGTCATGAGCCGTCCCAAGGCCCTATCTCCGGGTAACATATGTTATCTCTTAGTTTAATTAAATACCACCAGTGTCCGGGAGCGCGCGCGCCCTCGCCGGATCGAGAATTCGCTCATTTTGGGGTACGCGAGCCCTCGAATAGACGATTTCAGATCTGTCATGGTTATGATGAGGAGTTTTTCGTACTTACCTCCTCTTTGAAGTGAATTGTCGAGCACTGGAGGAGGGCTCCCATCAGCTTGTGCGGGTTCCAGGTGACGGAGTCAGCGCTGTAATCGTTGAAATTGATTTTTCCAATTTGGTTATATTCACATTGAAAAACAAGATTTATTACGAGACTTACACGGAGAAAATCTACCTGAATTGGAAAAATACTGAAGTATAAAAATATTTAATATTTTAATACTTTATTTTATTTATTTTTTATTTTCTAAAAATATTTTTTGTATTTTATACTGAAGTTTAAAATATAATTAACACTTATATTACACTGGAGCGTGCTTGGTACAACCCGGGACGATGCGAAATAATTATTCTCGAATTGAAGCACTAATTTCCCATTCGAGACCTTCAACAGACTTAAATTATAATTTTCAAGTCTCATTTAGGTCGATTTTCCTTTTCAATTCCTGTTTTAATTAAATTTTTTGAAAATCTTATCTTCGCACCTTTGAAATATTAAAATGAAGCATTATTTTTTTGAGTGTTAAAAAGATATTAATTGAATTGAAACAAATTTCATTTAAAAAAAATATAGAAGTGTTGAAAAAAACATGAAGAGATGAAGTTAATAGAGCGTCAATCTGAGGTGATTTAGGTCGACATGAGGTGTCTCAGCTGGTTGTTCAAATCAGCCCCATGGGATTGCACCGGGGAAAAGGGAAATGGGCCCCAAGTGCTGGGTAATACTAGCTCCATCAATTTGAGACCAAGGGGGGCTGTTAATACATAGCTGCGGCGATGGATTTAACCCTGGGTGGCTGTTCGAAAACACCCTCGTGGTTAGATGTTCAACCCTTTTAATCCAACGGTAATAGTACGGGCGAAAATTTGTGTTACTCTTGTAGGACGAGATGAATGACTTATCAAACTACTCCCGAACAATTTTTTAATTGAGAATATATATTTTTTTTCGTTCAATCGAGGATTCTTTTTCTATTGAAGAATATTTTTTTTAGTTCGAGAATTTAAGCACCCGTTTTGCTCCAGAATTCTTCAGAAAGATTTAAATGAAATGCTTTTGGATTTCATGAAATTTGTAGAATTCAGTAGCGAAGTGGTAAAAGGAGATAATTCAGTTTTGACTATTGACCAGTTTTCAATGAATATCTCGGAATCTAAGGGAGATAGAAAAATTTTCCTTATAACCTTTTTTGTAGAGCCGATTCAGTGCTACAACAAATGTAATTATGAAAATTTCGCTATCTCCCTTAGATTCCGAGATATTGATTGAAAACTGGTCAATGGTCAAAGTTGACTTGTCTTCTTTTACCACTTCGCTGCTGAATTATGCTTCAATAATTTTTTTATTGTTGTTGTATGGATGGATTGAGAATTATTCATTATAATAATCGAAAAATCCGTGAGAATCCACGAAACTAGGGCGATATTCCGAGGGGGGGATTTCTCCTGATTACTCTCTCAATGACATGTTTATGACAAATGTTATCGATACATGGCAAGTGACAGGAATGCCGAGCAGTTGGCCCTTTCACGATGCACTGTGGATGATGCTGAAGGGCTCTCGGAGACCTCAAGAGTCCCTTCCCCCGCAAACGCTACTTCCCCATGAGACTAGCGAGATGAGGGCATAAGAGTTTCCATGTCCCACGCAGATCTCACTCCATTAGTTACACTCTCGATAGCCAACCCATTGTTCATCCAAGTGTGATATCCCTGTCGTAAATGTCTCTCTCAGTACTACCTAAACTCCATCAATTTGTCTAATAAAATTACTGGGTGAGATGATTTTCACTTTTTATCGCGTTAAAAATTTCTCAATTTTTAATTTCGAAACTGCGAGGAATTTTTTAAGTTGAAAAGTTTCGGAAAGTTGACAAGAAAGTGACAGGTCGCATTGAAAAAAAATTACCCGTCCTATCCCAACAATTTTTTGACATTAAAAAAATTAATTTCAATGAAAAAAAAAGTTTTTCATCTGCATTTTGAAGAATAATGGGGTAAAACGGGTTGTTTTGTTTTGAAATTTTGTGGGAATTTTCATTAATTATGGTTGAATAATTTTCCAGCGGTTTTTGTTCATATATATTTTTTTAGATAATTAAAAAAAATTAATAATAAAGAAAAAAAATCAAAACTTGGAAATTACGCGAGATTTTTTTAATTGGAAAATTTCACAACAGTTGACAAAAAATTCCATGTCCAATTTAAAAAAAATACCCGTCCTGCCCCAACAGTTTCCAGACATTAGAAAAATCAATTTCAATGAAAAAAAATTATTCATCTGCATTATGAGGAATAATGGGGCAAAATGGGTTGTTTTGTTCTGAAATTTTGGCAATTGTTATGGAATATGCGTTTGCATAATTCTCCAGCGTTTTAGCTCAGTATTTTCGCACGATCACGCCTGTGGTGCCAATTATTCTTTTTTTTTTCCTCGCGACTATGAAAGCGCGTGGATTTGAATTTGGTGGGCGAACTAGTGGGTGGTGATTAATGGGATTCGCATCTGGGTGTGGCGCGTGCAGTCGTCCTCGACCCCATTACAACCCACTCCAATTTGGCTATAGGTGTCAACCCCAAAAGCCTCCCCGCGAGAACCATATATATTACCCCCCACAACTGGATGCTAATTACCCCGAGGGGGCACTCAAAGTCGATAGTGCCAGATTACCGGCAAGAACCTCCAAATTCACTTTAGAGAGGGCCATTTTCATTCAAGACTGACGTGATTTCAAGACAATGCGAACCTACATTTTAGTTCCACTGAAAGTTCAAGGAATTTTCTGGTAAATAGATTTTTTAATTTTCAATCAATCGTAATTTGGCACTGAACAGTCATGACTTCATCGAAAATTCGAATAGGTCGAGTAAATCTCGTCTCATTGCTGTTCAAAAATTTGAAATTTCATGATTTTTTCCCCCTTAAAACGCATTAAACTTCATTTTACCAAAAATGGCTAGTCAACGATCCATGAAATTTCAATTTTTTCCGGACAGTGAATCCTGTTAGAAATTTTTCAGTGAAATTTACGGTAAAAGTCTTGAAAAATTCTAACAAGTAATATTGTCCCTAAAATTTCATGAAATTCTGAATTTTCAATGACAAAATTTCATAAATTTTCATTGATTAATATTAAATTGATCATAAAATTAATGAAAAACACCGGAATTCAGAAAAAATTCTCCTTGAATTCAAGATTACTCTGAATTTACATGGAATTCGTTGAAAAATTCCTGGAATTCCAAGAATTTTAAGGAAATTCTTTGAAAATTCATGTAAATTGTGGAATTTTTATCTTCCTGTCGCTGAAAAAATTAGATTCTACTTAGAAGTTTGACATTCCATTCACCTTCTCCCCTTAAATCAAATTCAATATCTTTTTCCGGAAAATTTAGTCATTATTGTTAAAAATGTTTTCAACAATGATGCGAAATTGCCGAAGTCAAATCGCTGATCTCAGCCCCGATAATAAGCCCATAACTTAAGCCCAAAGGAGCACCAAAACAATGTGGGTACCACTTTGCCCCCAACAATCCAACCTAAAGCTAAAAGACAACCCGAAGTATGAAAAGGACTAAAAAAGAGATAAAGAGGAATAAATGCGAATGAAGGAATAGAATAGACCTTGAACTTTACCCGGGAGTTTTCTTTTCTCCAGCCTTTACTCGGCTCTTACCAGTAATCATTCTCGACTTTATCACAACGCGTTGAAGAAGGACGGGAGACAGACAAAGAGAGTCAAAAAATGGTGAAAAAAGGCGAGGAGGAAGGAGAAAGAGCCCGGAATATAGCAGACGCTGGCGTCCTTTGTACCAGTGAGTTTAATCCGGCATTGTCGGGCACCCATGGAATTGAGGGGGGGAGTTGGAGGCTTTATTTCAGCCTCGCCGAGCGGACGGACGACGTTGCCGACGTCAATAAGAGGAGAGTCCTGTTCCTCCGTAAATGCGCTCCGGGGAACGAATCCAGCTGTTGCGTTTTCCCCGTCGGATAACTACACTAGACGCTTCTCTCACTTTCACATGTACACTTGATTTTTTTTTCGGTGAATACCGAGGGATTTTTTAATCAAAACTATACTCCAGGCGAAAAGTGGGTTTTAACAATTAGTGTGGTGTGAAAAAAAATTTTCATTTTGTGGGGTAGAGCGGGCAGATCAATCCTGAGGCATATTTTGAGGGGGAATTCCAGACAGATTTTTAGGAGATTTTTCTGGGGTTGAATTTAGGATTAAATTTGAGAAAAAGAAATTGGAATTCGGGAATTGCGTTGAGCGGAGGAATTCTGGTTCTCAATTCAATGATTAGGACATTTTTGATCCTCATTTTAAAAGTGAGAGAACTCCTGAGTGATAAACTCCTAATCCTGATCAAGATCTGATAAAAATGAGAATTTGTTCAAAATAAAATGAAGGAATTCCTAATCCTAGTTTATCTAGGAAATTGAAGAATTCCTAATCCTATTTAAGAAGTCGGAGAATTATTTCTCAATTTTTTGGGGCATTTCTAATTTTGTTCAGAAATTCTGAGAATTCCTAATCCTTATCAGAAAGTTAAAGAATTCTTAATTCGTATTAGAAATTCAGGATATTTCTAATCCTCACCAAAAGAATAGAGAAAAGGAAAACAAATTTGTGGGAAATGATAATCCTAAGTATCTGGGTTTCTCCTAAAATCCTAATTAGAATTTTAGGAGAAACTAAAATCCTAATCCTAATTAAGAGTCTAGGAAGGCCCAACACAGTTCGAAAATTAGAAAATTCTCATCATTGAGAAAAGAGGAAATTGCGGCTATCGACTCGTACATGAAAAATCTCCCAATCCTAATCCTAAAGAACGCTAATCCTAAGAAAGACCAACCTTTTCAATCCACCGTGCTACAAAAATGGCAAATCCACCCAATTAAAACTGAAAAAAAAATCTTTTTTCACTGAAAAAAAATTAGTTCTACACCTCATCGCACTTTCCCTACATCTCCACCCCGAAATTACAAAAAAAAACATCCCAAGTATTGTAAAAGGAAGACTGAAAGGGGATGAACAGATGCGCGTGGATGCAAATCGTGGATTAATCTCGCCAGCCCCATCGGTAGCAGACGATGCTCATCCCCATCCCCGTATTCTGACCCCACAGCGTGTGGTCCAACGCTAGTGCCCGAGGGTCGCCGGATAGTGTCGCTATGGATGCGAAAGTTGGCATGTGTCAGAGACAAGAGTCACTCCTTTCAGTCCCATAAACATCACGGATTACGACAGTACTTCATCATCCTTCAATCACCCTCCAACCCTCCGCCGATTTTCCCTCCGCAAAATCACTCTCTTCAAAAAAAAAAATTGCCCTTCATGTGAAACCCATTTCCCTCCGGCGAAATTCCCATTCACATGTAAAGTCATCTTCCGCATTGAGTGTGCAAATAACCAATACGTATTGATTTTGTTATTACGTTGAGCTTATGAGCGAGGGACCTGAGCGAGCCCTGAGTGTTTTTCTAAAAGGACTCCATCAAACTAAGCCCCAATAAACTATAAAAGTCCGGGATTAAGTCGCCCCGAACAGCGCACACTGCGTTCCCATAGGAGTCTGCTTGAAAAACCATTCGCTAGCATGACTACACCGTCTCTGCACTCGTCGATGTATCATTTATATTGCCCAGCTTGTGTATAAATTGTTCAATGGCTTGCAATAAATTTGGGGAGATTGGTGCCACAGAAGGTGCAGATTTGCGTTCCCCTTCGATGCTAAAATTTCAAAAAATGCACTCACCGTTCGATGCCAGTCAGTCTTGGATGCCTGTACTTCTTCGAGAGAAGGAGCCCACCACCCCACGCCGCCTAATGATATCGTAAAAATCACAGGATCAATCGTAATGTTTTATGATTGCAGATATTGTGTGGAGAAATTCATAATTAAAGTCTTCATAATTAAAGACTATTGTCTAGCTAGTTATAATAAAATCCGGAAGAGGATGCTGTTCAATTGGATGATTACTACAGCTGCATTAATCGGAGAAGACCGTCATGTAGATTAATCTAATTGAAAAACCAAAGCGTAAAGTCCACTTCCCCAGAATAGCGAAAAGCACTTTAATCTGGCGTTTCACTATTCCCCAACAATTTGGCCCACGCCAGCAGCTAGTGACACCACTCCAACCTTCTCACATTTATTATTTAGGATAATACTCTTAGACACTTGGCATTTGCACCTGAAAATCCGTTCAACAGCTTTCCACATTGGATTTGAATAATTGAGTCTCATTTCCCCAATTCGCCGATTCATTCGAAACCAACAGCGTTAACTATGCTAATAGCCAGGATGTTTTGTTACTCACGTCAATGTGCAGCCAAAGATTGTACTTTTCGCAGATGTCGGCGATTTGGGAGATCGGATCGAATGCACCAATAACGGTTGTTCCAGCAGTTGCGTTGACGAAGAATGGAATGTGTCCCATTGCTTTGCGCTCCAGGATGAGCTGCTCAAGCTTTGAGGGAATGAGCCTGCCGTGCTCATCGCTGGGGACCATCACACAGTTGTCGGTGCCGAGACCGCAGACGGATGCGCAAGATTTTACGGAGTAGTGACACTTAAGGGTAAGAATATGAGGATAATTTAGTAGTTGTTTAAAGTTGAAAGGGAAGTGTGAATTCTAATCCTAAGATGACTAGGGAATCAGAGGATTTGTGATTCTGACTGTAGGATAGGCATTTATGAGTCCTAAGGAATCAGGAAATTTTGTAATTCTATTAAGAAGTTCAGAACATTGATAATTCTGGAATAAAGAATAAGACAATTTCTAATTCTCATTAGAGAACTGGAAGATTTACAGTTCTCATCATGTAATTAGACAATTCCTGATTCTAGCCATAGAATAAGGAAATTCCCGAACCCTAATCTATGAAAGTAAGATTAGGATTTCTCTAAATTACTCAATGCTAAGTAAAGAAAAGCCTATAGAGAATCTGGAAGTTTTTAATCCTTGATTTACGCTCCAAAGCTCCTAATCCTAATGGAAGAATCTAATTCTGCATAGACCATCATATGAATTCTGAATGCAAGTCTATTACCTGATCAGAAGTGAACATGACAAGTTGTCCTCCGACAGCGGAGAGTCCCTTTTCCTTATAATGAGGAAACATTTTGTGCCTGGCAGCCAGAAAAGCATAGAGATTGCTGATTGACCCACCAGGTGCCAGGATCGAGTCCCCAGTATTCCACCCAATCAATTCCCTCATCTTCTCCAGTACCACGTGCTCCATGAGAATAAAAACAGGTGCAATCTCGTAGGTGAACATATTGGTATTTGCGGTGGCGGTCAGCCACTCCCCGGCCATTGAGACCAGATCCAGACCACAGGACAGTTGGTTGAAAAAGTGAGGGTGGCCTTAAACAAAAAATCCCAAAAAATCTGTACAACTGTCTGGATAATTCTCGCTGAATCTGCTCCGCCAAAACAGTGAGACAGATTTCAAGATATGTTACTCCATGGAGTAGTGCAGCATCATCACAATTCATCAGAACGAGCACCTCCGGAATACTCAGAGTAATTACTCGTCCCATGACAGCGATGTTACGAGTATTATTAATGTGAAACCTCGAGACGTGATTTAGGAAAGAGGACATTCTGATGTAATTAAGACATTTTCATGAAAAAATAGCAGTAAATGAGGGGATTAATTACTTAATCATATACATTTCATCGCGTGCATTTATTGGGAATCCATACAGAAGAGTTATGTGTTATTTCATATTTTAGAACTGATATTCGTAGGTATTTCATATAAATCGAGATGGCCCAGAAGACGATTTTCATTGAAGGGTGACGCAATATCAATCCGGTTCGGTTCCTCATTCTGAAAATCGGGTGATTAATTAGTGAGATTGTTTGCGCAATAGCGATTAATGGAAGATTATTCTACGTACATGCGCAGATCTTACTACGCCCGCGACAAGCGAAGTTGCAACAATCGTTATCGGTTTGACACTGAAAGGATAAAATTTAATCAAATATTTGAAGTTCATTGTTGTAAGTCGTTTGGATTCAACACACTGATAAGTGATATCATATTGACTGTAGATATGCAGCAGATTAATCAGAATCCATGCAAAAATTAGGAAGTTAAAATTCAGGAAGGAAGACATGTAGAAGATGCAGTTCAATTCGCTTTCGCGATTGAGAGAGTTTTCAGATTTTCTCTATCAACTTTGGAATTTGATTTAATTTGTGACTGTTGGAATAGCCTTGGTCAACAACTTTAATGATAAGATGATTCTGATTGAAACTGATCAAATTGACAGAAAATCCAAATTCAAGCTGGATCAGCCAATTTTGATTACTTTCTGATCAGCAGTCATTTTTATGATCATTCTGAGTATTCTTTCTTCTAAGACAATAATTGGAATCATTGTGATATATGTTCTATGATCAAATTGATCTAGTAATTGTCCTTGTGCTGTCTAGTCTTGATGAAATGGAAATTGAAATCCACTGAAATTCTTGATCTTTCTTCAATTTTCAAACTTTCTGAAGAATGAAAGCTGCATTTTCAGTCTTGTGTAGTATAATCACATCACACATTTTTAGTAATAAAAGTAACTAACCGGTTGTCGCCTGTCCCTACACTGTCCGCTGACAGCCACCATCGCCATAGCAATTACCATGAACACAGCGAGGAACTTCATGATGTAAACCGTATTTTTCTTGGACTTCTTTCAACAAAGTCGATTGAGTTCAAAGCGGGTGATGAGCGACGGAGGCGAGTGCCTTTATATATGAGCCCCTAAGACTTTCTTGAAATTTATTTTTTCTTGCAATAATATTTGCGCACGTGCAGTTGACAAGATAAGATCACCTGATGATCCCGTTTTACTTAATCGCTGTTCATGATCAGAAGAGCATTGACGTCAATGCTTTGTTCAGCCCGGTATGAATGATCTTATAATAACATATTCTATATTGCGTGCTGCCTTCGATGTTCTGCGGATTTATGACCAAATTGAGATGGCAGAAAATGAGGAAAGGAATAGTCTTCACATGCCGCCGGAGTCGCTTGCTCCATCAGACGATACTAAAGAGCACGAGTGTGAGAATTAAAGGGAAATATGACGAGGGACGGGAGAACAGGGTGAGAAAGGTTGAAGGTACATGGATGAAAACGAAAAGAGCTTTAAGCCCGCTCCCGGAGTATGTTGTCATCCGCTCGGATGAACATCGCACTCGGATCAAGCCTAATGCTTCTGTTTGATGGCTACCACCCCTCTTCGAACGGGAGAAGGGTAGGTCGCCTGCAATACCAGCATCAGCTTGTGTACATTGAGACAAAAAATATTTTCTCAAATAGAAAAATTCAATCTGGTGCTGACCCTTTAACGACCGTCCTACGTTTACTAGTTTCCTATAAAGGAATGTAATTTCTAGCATAATTTCTTGGTTATTCCATACTCCTATGGGTACTTTGCTCCTAAGAAAGGCTCGTCCAGTGATGACAAACAATAAATTAAGCCTTCAATGAAGTAATAATGAAGATATGACAGTAACTTTCGTAACTTATGGACAAAAAATTTGTTGATGTCCAATTTTTTTGGCCAAAGAAAGATTTGTTTGAAGACTTGTTCGTTCTTCTTTCAGTGCATCTGTGTCGAACAATAGAATTGTTATTTTCCGTTATTTGGTGTCTCGATCTTTCGGGCAGAAATTCTTCAAATAGATTCCGAATCCTTCAGGAGATTGAAGTCATTTCCGTTAGGGCAGTTGAAATATCTGTCAGTCGTTGTTTTGTAGCTTTCCAGGGGACTGAGGAGACTCTGAACGAGAAAGTAGAGGAGTTTGAGGCGAACGTATTAGTTCGACAAAGCGTTTTAATCTTCAGGAGTTACCAGTCTGATTGACGCATGACGCTTGGGTTCGCTTGTTAAAGGGGGATCGGGATTCTGCTCTCTCGTTCCCCTTGCGATATATTGCGACGAATGTGGGATTTGCCGAGTGCAGGAGACGTCTGTGCAGCGAACCGCGTGATTTTTGATCACTTGATTCGCCCCAGCGATGATGGTCTTTATATTTGGTTGCGAATGAGAGTTGTGGAGATGTGGGTATTGGCGATTTTTGATGAAGATGAAGAGGAAGTCCTATTAATTTGGTTAGATAATGATTTATAGAAGTGAATCAGATTTTTTAAGGCCTCGTGACTCGTTTTATTCAACTTAAGAGGTGAATTTAGGATAAAAATCAATGAATTAAGACGATTTGTAGAAAAAAATTGAGTCCTTCAATCCTTCCCGATCGATTCAACTTATCTGAAGAGATGAATTCAAGAACAGATTAACAAAATTAGGGCTTGAAGTGAAGATGAAAATGAACTCTCACGTTAATTCGTAAAAAAACAAGAAATTCTATTCAAAAGGATAAGAAAAATGGGAAAAAATTTATTTATTCCAAATAAATGATTTTTTAAAATCAAATAAATAATTTATTTTGATCAAATAAAGATTTACTAATAGTAAAAAAACATTTATTTAATATAAACAAAATTTTGAATAAATTTGTTTATTTAACTTCAAAATAAACTTTATTTGAATCAAATAAATAATTTTTCTGGGTGTAGACTTTAATTCCCATCGGATGGATGGCATTCCAAAAGCTCTTATTTCACCCCAAAGTACAATAAAATCCCGAAAAGATCGGTGTACCACTGTTTGTCGCGGCGTTATATCCGCAATTATCATGATCGGTGACTCGAGGCACGCGTCCGGTCCAACATGAGGGGTTGCTACTTCAAGATGTGCCTCCCCTCGTTCCTCCTTCACATCTTCCACTGATCTCTGGTGGGGCACACCCGTTGGACGGGCAGCCAGGGGCTCGAGGGTCGATGATCCGGAGAGCCCGCATTTTGCGCGTCACACGCGTCGCTGAACCACTAGATTGTTTGCAGAGGCTCTCAAATGCATGGAATACGCGTTACAAATCGGAGTTTCAGTTTTAATGTTGCGTGTCAATATCTGGGTGAATGGGGGAGGGATTAAAATGTACGGGACGAGGGAATGGAGTCACTGTCGGAACGTTTGGGTCGAAAGTTTTGCGAAGGGAGACTTGTAAATTTACTGAGTGAAGGTAGAAATTGAATTAAAACGGATTTTTTTTATAATTTAACATTTTTTTGGTTGAAATTTACGGTACATTTTTCTTAAATTTTTATTGGAAACAGTTTTACTGGAATTTCGAGGAATTGAGGAATTGAAAAGTCACAATTTGATGGAAAAATCAGTGGAAACTAAATTTCAGTTCAATTATTCCAAAAAAATAATAGAAATCATTAAAAATCGAATAAATTTATTTTTTTATTTGGGATTAATTGAAAATTGTACGTAATTTGATACGGAAAATTCATGTTTCGATTGAAAATTCAGATACGTTAAGGAATCGTTAAATCTCTACTGAAATTTCAAACTGAAAATTTGAATTTTTAGGAAAAAATCGAAGAAAACAGTAAATTTTCTTCTTGAGTAGCTAAAATAATTGATTAATAATTGATATATTTTGAAAATAAAAGGCGAAAGGTGAATATTCCTCCCAAAAATGCCACATAACCCGGTTTTCATCGACGCACAAAATTATTTTTGAACATGTCGCAAGAATTCCCCACAGTATACATTAAAACATGTTGAATTGCTCTATTCGACTAATTTGGAGCATTTTGCGGAGGGGAGCAGCAACGCAGTCTGGGGGAAGGGACGCTGGGGTGGATACCCAGAAAAGTATGTGAGGCTTCTGGGTAACCTGTCGCAGACACAACTCGGAGTTGGTGATAAATTAGAGGCTTAAGATTTGTATGAAGAGGAGTGTGTAACCCCGGATTAACGCTAATACTGCGTCATCCATCATGGCATATTGAGAGGAAAATGTACGATTACCGCTTGAGCTGCGGCTTATTATTTTTATCATGACGGGTATAGAGTCGAATGGAATATTGAAAAATGTCTTGAATGCTCTATTTTACAATTTTCGCTCGTAGAATTTCCAGAAATTTTTCCCGTCTAGCATTTCTTCCAGTTTTTTCCCGTTGAAAAATTCCCGTAAATTCTTTCCCCATCAATTTCTCCCTAGAAAAAAATTTCTAGGTAAATTTCACATGTTTTTCTTTCTCAGAGACATGAAAACTTTTCTTGGGAATAATTTTTCAGGGGAAAAATTATCCAGAGGATTTTTTACAGGAAAAAACGGAAATCAAACCGTTAGACGATTTAATAGAAATCGAATAGAATTTTTCTGTTGAATGTTCTCCATCTGAAATCATCAGATATAATAAAAAAATTCATTCGTTTTGAAATTCTAAAAAAAATTTCCGAAGAAAACGCCTGAATAATCAATAAAATACTTTATCCATTGAACAAAAGCTCTTCCCAAAGTGCACAGGGATTTTTCACCCGAAAAACATAAAATTCCACTTCCCCACACCCGAGCACAAAACATCCAAAAACTCCATGGGGATAAGCCCGAACTTTTAAAGCGTGTAAAATTGTTCTGCAGCTGTAGCCAAAAAAAAACTGAAAAATGGAAGGAACTCGCTCAGTGAATTCTCGAGGGTTCGCTTTAACCGTGACGTCGTCAAAATATCGACAAATTCCAGGGCGTAAGCACGCACGTGAAACTAGAATACCAATTTAAATTCCAGCAGTGTAGCCTTCTCTGTGTAACCCCCGGGTGAATGTGTGTTTCATCCAGTCATGCAGCGAAGGAGAGGGGGATGAACGTGAGGCTGCACAACCCTGGGCGCCACCCCAGTGTGTCCCGAGAGCCCCTATTTACTGTTACGCCAGACCTCGACCCTTCGCAGTTTGCCAGGAGGGGGAGGGGGGGGGGGCAAAATCGTGTAGAAATGGCTCTTAATTACACCGATCCCATTGAATTTACTATCCCCCAGGATAAATTGCCTGCGCGAGTGTCGCAAAGTGTTTTCCTTTTTTTTCTTACATTCAATTTGGAATCGTGATTTGCGCGATAAAAAGTTGTTCCGTTCGCAAGAATTTATTGAACTTTGGGAACAGTTCTGTGGACCAATGAATGTGAACTAATCGAATTGATGGAATGAAGAGAGAAAATTATTGCCGCAACATTTTGGGATGGGGTACGTTGAGAATATATTCAACAGAATTTATGTTGCACATGATTAATTTATATTCTTTCCGTTTGTCCGAATTTTCAATTTGAGGAATTATTTAGAGATTTTGCCACTGGAAATTTATGACTTGTCATTAATTCCTCTCTATATAATAATTTTTTTCTCGGTGAAACGCTAAAAATGAACAAAATTTGATTTTCAGTAAAGAAAAATATAAATTCGATAATTCGACATTGAAAATTTCTATTAATTTGTGCGTCCGAATGCAAAAGCACTCTATCAAAATTTAGAACTTCAAGATACCATAATTTTTAGGGAAAAAATTTTTTTTCGCTCTTTTTCAACAGCATTGAGTGTTAAGTCGCCCCTCAGCTGAGTTATCGCTAAATATCTCCAAATCTAAGCCCGACATCAAAATTTTCATAATAACCTTTTTTATAGCTCTCAATTCGCCCCACAAAAAAGATAATAACAAAAATTTCGCTAACTCCCCTAGATTTCGAGATATTCGTTAAAATTCTCCAATAGCCAAACTCGACTCGAACATTTTTACCTCAATAAAAAAAAAAAAAAAAAATTTTACCTCTTCTC